CAGTGTTTATGAACTTGGCAACTTGAAGACGTGTGGACTTCAATTCCCAGAATCTAACTAGTCAGTTATTGCCTGGGGAATTCTGGGAGTTGAAGGCCACGCATTTTCAAGCTGCCAAATAAAAAATAATAACAACACTGAACTGCTTCAATGGTTTCTTCGCGAGTGAATGACGACGTACTGTACCCATAGCAGGAATAGAAAATGAGGGTGTCGTGGCCGACAAAGTAGCAGTTAAACTACGGCAGGGGTCCTCAACCTGGGCCACTTTAAGACTTGTGGACTTCAACTCCCAGAATTCCTCAGCCAGCTTTGCTGGCTGAGGAATTCTGGAAGTTGAAGTCCACAAGTCTTAAAGTGGCCCAGGTTGAGAACCCCTGAACTACGGAATTGTTGCTAATCTAATTTATTATCTCTATGTTTGTCCCTCTAATATTCCCCCTCTGACGCTAGGGGGCGGAGCATTACGCAACAGCTCAAGCCCCAGTTTGAGCGGAAATAGAGGAAAGTATTTCCGGGTCGATTGGCAGGCTGTTCTCTGTACATGCTTGCTCGGGGTGTTTGTTTGCTCAACTCTTTTCATCGGAGGAAGTCTGAGGGTCAGAAGAATTTAAAGGCCAGCTCCCATAGGAAAGAAGCAGAACCAACTGCAGCCGCAATTTTGCCAACACAGAACTAACTCACTGTTTCTTGCCCCGTGGATAGAGGGCAACCTGCCGTTGCCTGCATTGCAGAGCCTTGAGGTGGAATCACAAGGCAAAAGCATCGTTTCCAAGATGGAATATTAGAAACCGTCTTTTCCCCAGCTAAGAAAACACTGTTGCGGGGGAGGGGGGCGCGCATGCTTGGATGTGACCTAACAGTGCATTTATATTTGCAGAAAAACTGTATACCATATGAAGATTATGTCACCTTTACTTAGGGATTCTCCGAAACATGAGTTGGCCAGGGATACTAAACACCTGGAGGTGTCTTGAACTTAATCATTTCTGTTTTGGAGGCATAAGCCAGCAAAAAAAAAAGATTTCAACAGGGGAAGCTTGATAATATGTGTGTACTGTATACCAGGGACAGGCAACCTTGGCTCTTTTATGGCTCGTGGACTTCAACTCCCAGAATTCCTGACCCAGCATGAGTCATAAAAGAGCCAAAGTTGCCTACCCCTGCTGTATACAATAGAACTTTTAGTAAGTTTAGAGGAACAGTTAGGATATTGGCTTGGAGATATTTATAATAATAAAGTTGGAAAAGGGACCTTGGAGGTCATCTAGTCCAACCCCCTGCTCAGGCAGGAAACCCTACACCATTTCGGACAAATGGCTATCCAGTCTCTTCTTAAAAACTTCCAGTGTTAAGAGCATTCACCGCTTCTGGAGGCAGTTGTTCCACTGGTTAATTGTTCTAATTTGATTTATTGGAATTTTCCGAATATTCCTTAGGTTTGCTGTCAGAATGTTTTTTATTTATATCCCACCTTTATTATTGGTACAAATTACTTAAGTCAGAAAACATCTAACACTCTTTCCACCTTCTTTTTCCTCACAACAACAATCGTGAGGTGGGTTGGACTGAGAGAGATACCATCTGGCTTTCATGCCTGAGGCAGGATTGGAACGCATGATTTCCTGGGATCTAGTCAGGTGCTTTAACCATTATACCAAACTGGTTCTCCAAATGGTAATTAGTCAGAAACATACTAGGAATATATATTGTATATATTAGCCTTAAAGAAGTTGTAACTATTTTAGCCTATGAAGAGATTCCACCTAGAAAGAGTTTGGTCATATTTTCCTGAAAGACAAAATTTAAAGTTTGTAAGTTTTCCAAATCTAAAAATTTTAAGAAATTTCCTATTATGTGAGAGATCCAGCTTAAAGAAATGGATACACCCATGTATTTTCTGAATATTTATTCAGAGGCCCATGACTGAAAAAGATTTGTGAAACTGCCCTAAAATAAAAAAGTCAAAAAATTGCTCAACACCTTAAATAGAAAACCATTTTAGAACTAATGGCAGGCATCTGTTATACTATAAATCTAGAAAGCAATGTAAGCTAATTTGAAAAGTCATCTTTTTTAAAAAGTTCTCAAATTAGAAATTCTACAATCTCATGTCTTTCCTTTTTCTTTTTGAATAGACCCACTGCTGTTCAGTTACAGCTATCACAAAGCCAAGGTTTCTATTTTTGTTTTGAACAGCACTTCCCAAACTAAGGATGTTGGAATGAGGAACTATTTTCTTTAGGATTAATCATAGTTAAAAATATCAAAAAGGAACAAATTCTTACTAAACAAAGTGAAAACCTACTAAATTTTTTGCCTTGTATCCTATCTGCTGTTCGACGGATTTGTAGATTCTTTTTTGCTTTTGAACATCTGGTGATTGTATCGATGAAGATTTTCAGTCATCCAGGTAGAGTTGCCTGAAAGTTGAGTCATGGGCAAAAGATTTTTTGAAAGAAAAATCTTTATTGGTTACATTTATGCATCCTGAATCATTATTAGTCTCCTGAATAAAAAAAAATAATTTCTCACAAATTTCCAAGGGTTTGCTAAACATGCTACTATTTATGTGCACCTGTTTTGTTGAAACCTGCCAAACTAGTTGAAAATAGGAGCCCTATCCATTCATAACCGTAAATATTGCTATTATTGTTAAATGGTCTGTTATCCAGCCCTTTAATTTCCAGATGCAACTCCTTTTGGAACATCTTTGTATTAAAAAAAAACTTGCTTTTCTTTCATCCAATAGATAGAACTCTAGATTGTATCAATGATAGTAAAAGCAAATTATATTTTGTTAATAAATGGATATTAAATTAGCCTATTAAAATTCTTTTGGATAATATACCGTACCTTGCCTTGAAAAAGAGAGTATTGTAGGCAGCTTTTCAAATTTTATGTAACTTATTTCAAGATTTTGTTTTGTTTTTTCCTCTGACAAGAGATGAAAGTCGGCTTTTTGTTTCATCACTCCAGAGCAGGGGTAGGCAACCTTGGCTCTTTTATGACTCATGGACTTCAACTCCCAGAATTCCTGAACCAGCATGGCTGGCTCAGGAATTCTGGGAGTTGAAGTCCACGAGCCATAAAAGAGCCAAGATTGACTACCCCTGCTCCAGAGGTACATGTGGAATCACACAATAGGACATACAAAGAATTTATCTTACATTCTTGGAAAACATTTTTTAAAAATATTATTAAATTGGAGAGTCATTGATTACGCTTTATATGGAGCGATTCTTTTAATGGACTAACTCAAAAGACACTAACACCCAATTTGATATTATTTTGATTCTTACTTCGTTAAAAATGAAAAATGTTATTGCCTTGATGTCTAAATAAAATACATATGGGACTTTACAATTTTAGATTGCTTGGAATGCAACTGATTTAAAAATAAATTGTTATTGAGGATATTATGAATCTGTATTATAGGGTAATCAACATAGATAAAAATAGAAACTGTTGTCTTTTTCTTAAGCTTTAAGAGTGTTGTTGAATTTCACTTTAAGGAAAGAAGTATATCAACGTGCAACAAAATATCTAATAATTTTACCATTTTAAAAACCTGTACAGAAATATAAGAAAATAACCACTGCAAAATGTAAATAAGTAATTGCCAGGAAAATATAACTGACAAGTAAATTGAAAGTGTGCAGAAGTACAGTCACACTTCAAGATTTTTTTTCAGATCCTTTTAATTAGAAAAAGAAAAATAGGCATGCTACAAAGTACCAATATTTAACATTTTTATTTACAAGAATGCCTTTTGTCCCCATAATTTAGACAATAAAATGGAAATTGCCACCTATCCCCAAAAAGTCACATAAATTACATAGCCGTCAACAGCCAGCCTCTGTTCCAAATAAACATCTTGACACAAGCTTCAAAGTTTGTACTTGCCCAAGAATACAAGTACATGATATCACAATATTATGAGCTACATCAGGGGTCTTCAAACTTGGCCCTTCAACTCCCAGAATTCAATGGGAGTTGAAGTCCACAAGTCATAAAAGGGCCAAGTTTGAAGACCCCTGAGCTACATTTTTTGCTGTCTCTTGAATGCCCATGAGAAGGAAGATGTGCATTAGGAACATACTGGAGAGTTGGAATAGAGAGCAAAGAATGACTTAAGAATGGCTTCCCCAGAAGGCTTCTTTTGCAAGGAAGTAATAGAGCAGGGGTCTTCAACCTTGGCCACTTTAAGACTTGTGGACTTCAACTCCCAGAATTCCTCAGCCAGCTTTGCTGGCTGAGGAATTCTGGGAGTTGAAGTCCACAAGTCTTAAAAGTGGCCAAGGTTGAGGACCCCTGTAATAGAGGAACAGAAACAAGAACTCGACTAATTTTAAGGGGCCAGGACATGGCCCAAAGTTCTTGTCTGAATCAGTTTCTTCTGTGAAAGGGAAGCATAGCCAGCAGATCCATAAGATCACTGTTCCTCCAAGCTAAATATGAAAGTGGAGAGACTAAAGTACCAGATAGCTGTCAGAACACTTTAAAAAAACTATTCAGAAGTAGGTTATTGCTTGAAGTAAGTAAACCATAATTCCAAGAAAGTACGGTAGTACTAACTGCTTGGCTGAAGATCATGAATTTCTTGGATAAAAGCTGTCATTTGTACTTGTTTCTGTGATACGTTGACCTCAGGTGTGCTATTCTTTGTAAGCCACCCTTAGTTTTTAAAATCTCCGATAGACTCTGAACATCTTGTTACTTATTTCCTTATCCTTTGAAGTTAATAGTGATAATAGCACTTATTTGATTTGTGCTGTGCTGCAATTAAAATTACCTGATTATGTCCCTTACTCTAATGTTTGAATTCTGAGAAAGAATATAACCTTGTAAAATTGTCTGCTGATAAATGAGATATTTGTAATTGGTTGATTGTAGGTGCAACATACTCTCAAAAAGTTTGCATTGGCCCCAAACCTCCAGCTACTCAATTTCAGTGAATGATCCCAGATTTTAGTAATATGAGAATGAAAAAAAAAATCCTTCCTCACTTCAGTTTTGTGCACATGTATAATGTCATTTTATTTGTCTTTCTTCTAAGCTAAAGATTATGAGATCTGTCTCCTCTTTCCTCAAAGGGCAGTTACTCCTTGCTGCTGATTTTTCAGCTCTACTATGAGTAATCACAGCTATCCATTACTCTTATATTACATTACTCTTTAAATGCTTATGTTAAAAACATGCCTCTTTCACTTCAAGCATTAGCAATTTTGGGGGGGAAATAGTTTATTAGCAAAAATCTGTACAATATAAAAGAGAAGAAATCAAAGATATTGTTAAGGACTGCTTTCATCAATATCCTTGTCTGGGTCTGTCTCTGGATTTTCATCCTGTTGCTCCTTCTTCCAGAGTTTAGCCATTGCAAGCAGTTTGAGGTTGGGTTGATTGGCAGCATCTTCTGGGAAGATATAATCATAATATTCTTCCCAGCCGGCATCAGACTAGAAAGAAAATGTGGACATAATCAAACCTCCATTATTAGAATTGTTTTAAACTATGTGACATTACCACACAGCATTTGGTGTTTTTACAAAGTGCATTAAAGACCAGTTTAGGCCACAGATGTTGCTTGTTTGAAAAACTCAAGAGAACTAAGGAAATATCTTGTCTCTCTACTGGATGTACAGAAGCTTTTAGGTTATCTGAATAGATCCTAATGTTATTGGGGTGATTTTTCCTGAATAATATTTCCTGAACACTAAGCTTTGTTATGAAATATAAATAAACTGTTTCATCCTTCACATGCATCACAGAGTACAGCATTATATTCTGTAGATTCTCTGCACTCACTCTAATTTATTAAAAGAATAAGCAGAGGGAAGAGGGAAAAACTGTCTATTTTGTTAAGGTCTGCCTGCATTTGTTACACTGCTATACTACATAAAGTACTTGTGGAAAGCCAAATTTCTAGGTGGACGTCTTACCCCATCTTCAGCCTGAAGTTTTCTCCGCTTCTTGACTTTTTCAGGCATCAGTTTGTCTACTCGTTCTCTGCTGGATTCTGTTCCAAACTCCTCTTCAAAGTTTTTCCAAGATTCCAAAAGCATAAGCCTCTCTTCTTTCTCCTCACAATTTCTCATTGTTTTATTTGCCTCTTCATATATTTGCCGGCATCGTGGTAAATTGTTCCTTTTATCTGCTGAGAGCTCAAATTGAGCAAAACTGATCCATACCTGAAATAAGAAGAGCATATTATGATAAATAGCTAATCTATGTATGTACAGTAAGTTGTCACATACTTATTATAGTCTTTCTCTGTCTAGGACTTCTCTCAATTAATGAAATTCTAAATGTATATCACCTATTCTGGAACTGTACGTTTTTGGTCATTTTTAGAAAGGATTTCCTACTGTTTTCGACTAGGACTTGTAATGTAAGCCCTGTATAAAATTACTTAATAATATTTTTCCCCCCAAAGGAAACATACTATCAAAACCGAAGTATATTTAAAAGAGAATAAGGAAAAGAAAATCGGAGTCAAATGTTGATCTTCTCCTTTTTTCAAATAAGATAAGAACAAAGTATATATAAAGTAGGTATACAGAACAGCCAGACTCTGCCATACAGCTACCAGAATCAAGTCAATGTTGTCGAGCAGCCTCAGATTCCCTTATGGATAAAGACATACAGTAACTGATGAACACAAAGCAGGTCTCTACCAAGTTCTTAGGTTAAAAATGAACAAAACTGAATTTTTCACTCATCTTTTTTCTAATTAAATAATGCTTCCATCAACATTTAACATAAAAACAGGAATACTATTTCAATTCGATTTTAACATTTAAAAATGTTAAAAATTTTATTCTTAAAATGGGGGTAGATAACTTGATTAGAAGCTGATCAACTCTCTCATGCTATCCTAAAGGTGAAATCATTTCCCTGAAGTATAATAGAAGTGCAAAAGGCCATTCCAGTGAGTATTTTTAAAAGAGGCAGATATGGGCCTTTGACCTTATATGTCATACTAGCCTTCTCAGCCATTCCAAACTTGAAAACTTTTTGAAGAAGCTTTAAGAGCAGCAATATTTAAATAGAGCAATATGTAAAACATAATTTACAATATACGTAAGTTTAGACTGCAATTGTTCTTTTTTTTTCTTCTAATCAGTTTTTCTGTTTTTGTAAAACTTCTCATAAAATATTTTTTTTTAAAAAAAACACCAATTATTAAGAAAAACTCACTTAAAATTGGCTAAATTAAAATCCGGTGCCACCTTCTCTGTATTTATTTCAGTTGCAAAAGTGTGCACAATTAGTGTTACTACAGCCAGAATGGAATTCAGCTTTGGCGGAGTCCTTACCTTAACATGCTGTGTTCGCTGAAGCAACCTCCTGTATAAATTTCTTGTATTCTCATATTCCTCTTGTTCAATTTCAAAGTCTATGTAAGATTTCCAAAGCACCTAGGAGAAGAAAACTCTATTCTTCCAATTTGGAATGTAAAAGCGAATTTATAAAAATAAATCCATATAAAAAGTGCCTAAAATAACTGGTACACAAGGAGAAAAAACTTCTGAAGAACTATATTTTAGGTACTTGTTTTAGAGGGTTTAACTTGATTTCCACCAACAGTTCAGAGCAGCTTACACAAGGTTCTCTCTTCATTTTATCCCTGTATCATCAACTCTATGATATATGTTGCACTAACAGATGTGGCTGGTCCAAAGTCACCTGGTGAATTTGCATGACTATCTTTGTTTCCTTGGTTTGAGACCAACACCTTGATGAATCTTACTAACAATCCTCCAGAGTTGAACTCTAGGTGGAAATTATCAGGATCAATTCTAATTGGTTATTTCATCCCGGATATGGTTTTGAGACTACTCTAATAACCTAGGTGGGAGACCTAGGCTGGAAACTATATGAGGGACAATCTCTTGAATTGCCTGATGGTTTTCAGTGGTCTTCTGGGCCATATGACTGGACTGAGTTTTGAGGTTACCACTAATTTGCAGTGGTTCTAGTTCTTTCTGGGAGGACATACCCAGAAGGCAGTACTGTGAAATTACAGTTCAATAACTGGGTCACTGGACCTACGGTGTTTCATAGGATTCTATCTTGTCTTTATACTATTTAACAATGAGACTGATGGGGCAGATCATTTGAAGTGAGGTGCCATCATTATGCAGATGACATCAAGCTGTATTGACCCTTACCATCTAATTCCAAGGTGGCTAGACCCTTGAAAGTTGCATAAACTCAACAATGGACTGAAGCAGAGAAAGTAAGCTAAAATTAAACCCAGACATGATGGAGGTATTGTCGTTAAAGACAAAGAAGGACTTGGAGGTTAAGGTAAAGCTTGTTTGGAGAGAATTGGTGTTTGGAGTGCCCCTTGAAATCCAGCCGTTATTGTATATGCAGATGAATGTAGTGGCAAGAACATCTGTACAATGGCTATTGTTCCCATTGCAGTTCCTAAGCCTTTCAGACCTAGTGATTAATTCATACTTTGATTATATACACTCTTTCTAGTGCAGCATTCTGGCTAGTGCAATTAATACCTCTTTCCAAGGAGCTAGCCTTGAAAAATGCCAGGAAATTACAACCCATACAAAATGGAGGAGGAAAGCTATTAACTAGTAATAGGTATTGAAAGATTTGCAGTAGTCATATATGGTTATCAGGCACAATTTATAGTGCTAGTGCTGATTTTTAAAACCCTAAACCAGGTGTAGGCAACCTTGGCTCTTTTATGACTCGTGGACTTCAACTCTCAGAATTCCTAAGCCAGCATGGCTGGCTCAGGAATTCTGGGAGTTGCAGTCCACAAGTCATAAAAGAGCCAAGGTTGCCTACCCCTGCCCTAAACAGAATTTGTTTGATTTGTATACCACCCATTTCACCTACCGTTTGCTGAGACTGCAAGCCCTGCTGTTTGTGGCTATCTGAAAGATTGCTTCTACTATGAACCCATTCAATTACTTGTGAAGTAGGGGAGACTCTTTCGAAGACTCACTCACTGCCAGAAACTAGGCTACCTAGCATGAGGGAGGCAGCATTCCCCTATCTGACTCCCAGGCTCGGAATGTGCTCCCTACAGGAGTATGTTTGGTCCCTACTTTCCTAGTATTTAGAAAAATAACAAAATACCCTCTTTCCCCAAGCTTTTATTTGTTAGATAAATTTATTTTTTCTTGATTTTAACTGTATTATTTTTAATTGCTATAAGCCAAGGAAAATGCCAGAGAGGGTTTATGTGCGCCCCATATTAATGGCTGAAAAAGCGTTTATTGAGCTTGTTTAAAAAAGTAGTGTTCGAGCAGTTCTTTTCATTCTTCCTCAGCCCCCTCCAAAGTGGCATGGCGCCTGGTATTCCTCACCAATTAGACCTGTTGCCTGAATTCCATGAAGGGGCAAGATGAGCCCGTCATGCAGCAATAGGAATTTAGTTGACTATAATGCCAGTCTGTGCTTCCAAATGTAACAGCTACACTTAGTCCTGGGTTGCTGCTGCAGTGGAAAATAATCTGCCACTGCTGCTCTGCTTCCCCTCATCCATTGGGTGCATTTCAGCACCATTTCTTTGCAGCTTCCTCCTACCCGGGCAGCCAGCTCAAGCTGAGCAAGCAGTCCATTTCTAGCCAACCTAGTTCATCAAGGCAACTACACCACTGGTTTCAGCAGCACCAATACTACTACTCCCACCCCACCCTTACCATAGTGAGTCTTTTGTTAACAAATGGGTAGCATGTCCCTGCGCAAGCTTCCTTGAGAACGACAGAAGTACAGATTTAATTAAACATTTCTATATGTCTCCTATGTATTCCCTCTATATACAACAAAAATACATTATTAGGAAGAGCATTCCCCAGAGCCTTTCTTACCTCGGGCATATCCAATCGAGGCTGGCCAATAGCTAGTTCATATATAGCTCTGGCTCGATCAATGTCACCTAGAATAGTTTCTAACTCGGCAAATTTGATCCATGATGTGCAGTTTTCAGGTGCAAATTCTAAAAACTTCTCATACAGTTTCCGACAACGATCAAACTCTCGCAGTTGTAGCTCCAATTCAATATAGCCTTTAAATAGTTTGTTCTTTGGACATTTACCTATAGATGTCCCCTACAAATAAGGAAGAAGTTCTTCAAAGCTTCTCACGAAAGTGCAATTATACAAGCATAAAAACTGAAATACACTTTTGCTCCAAAAATGCGGTATCTGGGCTCTAAAGGTCTAATTTTTGAATTATTACATTTCTATCTTATTGTGTTCTTATTGCATATTAAAATGGTCTACAAAGACCAAAAACTATCGTGAGCGTGGTAGCTTTATTTCAACATTTGGTAGACATATTTCAACATTTAAAAAAATGTTAAGAGTTAGCCATAAAAGAAACCATTGGAGTTGGGAAGTCAATAAATTTAAACAATAATAGAAAAAGCAGTATGGTATTCACTAGAAATAGGAAGACTTGTTTAATGGTACTTTAGAGACCATCTGTATATAAAGAAGTCAGTTGGGTTGTTTTTTCTTCCTACCACAACTTTGCAAATCAAGCTAAGCACGGGGCATTCTTATAAGGCAAATCAAGTTGTCAGGAAGGACCTGACTTTTCCATACATTTTGGAAATTACTATAGCCTTGGTCTGATACAACATAAAAAAGTATCAGTACCTTTCAGCAGAATTTTTTTTTATTTCTGACATACTACTATAAGCCAATAAGAATTTTAAAGTATTGCTTTCAAGAGAGATCAGATGATAACCATTTTCATCAGTATCTTTCTAGAACAAGAAAGTTATTTATTTTTACTTACCAATGCTCGCCTGGCAAGATGGAGTTGCTTCTGTCTAATTTCAAACTGTGCGTAGAGCAACCATATTTTGGCAAATGTAAACTGAGTGGAAAAATAGTATAAAATTTAGCTAGATTTCAGTTTGCTGAGTTAAAAACAATGCTTTCGTACATACAAAAATGACTAGGATCACAACTGTTTGGAATTTTTAAATTTATTCACCTTTATCCCGCCTTCATTATTTTTATAAATAACTCCAGGCAGTGAACACAGATAATGCTCCTTCCTCCTCCTATTTTTCCCACAACAATAATCCTGTGAGGTGAGTTGGCCTGAAGAGAGTGATTGGCTCAAAGTCACCCAGCTGGCTTTCATAGTTAAAGAGGGACTAGAACTCAGTCTCCTGGTTTCCTCAATAAAGTAATTTTCTTGAAACCCATTAGAACAAAGTATGCGTACAGTATCTTTAGCAGGTTTATGTTATTTGATCAGCCCATAAGGCTGACTGACATGATTTCTGAAAGCACAAAATTGGACAATGTGTCAATGAGAACAGGAAGACTAAATTACAATTCATTTCTATTTTATTTTGGTTCTCCTGCACTTTAATTGTGACAGTTATAATCTAAATCTATTTAGAGTTATAAATTCATGTATAATCTAAACTACTAAATCACTGTAGCTGACTCATTTTCTAGTTTCATAGAATTTATTATCTGATATGGATTCTGAAGGAAGGGCATACTAAATAAAGGAAATGGTTTGTTCATATTGTAATGGTATATGGAAATGACTTGGAAGACAGGAGGGAGAGCTGCAAACTGACAAGTGGCATATAAAAGATGTTTCAATCCACAGAAAGGGGAATAGGATGGGAAAAGTTTCAGAAGGGACCCTCCCCAATTTTCTAGGAGTTTCCTTCCTCTCCAAAGGAAAGGATGAAAGAAATATTTTCAGTCTTGGAAGACTTCTTTTAACGCAACCTAATAATAAAGATAGATCCGGTGCTCTTGGTTGTGTTTGTTGTCTGCCCTTCCTACCCCGCGGGGCTAACACATAGAGCTATCTTGCAGAGATTATAAAATTTTCTCTCATATAATTTAGGTTTATATAACATCACCAGTAACCTCAGTTCAGAAATTTTATTATTTTGAAAGAAGCAATGGGTTCTCAAAACTCTATGAATAAATTAAGTGCATGTATACACACATTCACTCACACAAACACATCTATGCAACTCTATGAGTCGCTGTAGCAGTGATGGGCAACTTTTTTTCCTTGGGCTTTTTTCTGGTGGCATCCCACCCACTCTAAATCTCACCACTATAATTTGTCAATAAAATGATCTATTTTAAGACAGGGTGTCTGCTTTTTAAAATAATAATAATAACAACAATAATACTAATAATAATAGGGAGTTTTATTTGGAACTTTGAATCTGGGTCCCCTTTTTGGGTCTGTTGTAACTTCAAACAGTCGCTAAGTGACAAGTCATAATTTGAGGACTACTTGTACAGTACAATCTGCCTTGCTGAACCAAACCAGATTTTTCCTTTCCCTATTCTCTTATAAATATCTACTTGATTATAGGCAAGAGTTGAAGATACATTTAAATCCTATTTTTCAAAAGAATATAAACTGCTTCTACTGAACTAGAACAGGGGTTCCCAACCGGGGGTGCGAGTCAATATTCTAGGGGGTGTGAAAACTTGGGTTTAGAAGTTTCAAAAATTATAGTGTATATGCATAATTTGTTGCTGTTATTTTGAAATTTTGTAAGGGATGCAAGAATATATCAGAAGCGTTCTATTCCACTTAGAATATCCACCCCATGAATTTCTCAAATCCCTTCTTAAAATTATTTTTGCATCTTATCTGTTGTATTACAAAGCATAAACCAGCTAACTTACATCTAAAGTTCTCCTTACTACAGGTTTACTTATAATAAACTTGCCCAATGTAAGAAAAAACATGACTATGTGGGCTTTTATAGAAAACTAAGTTCCAAAACAGCTGGAAAGTAGAGATTTTAAAAAAATCAAATAAACCTACTTAGTCCTTAGATCAGTAAATAGCTTGAGAAACTGCAATGTTTATATGTAACTTGCACATAAACCCCAGTTTATGTACAATTGCTTGCATTCCATACTCTTAGATTTATCATACTCAAACATTTATACTGTATCAATACTTAGAAAATATCTTCAATTTAGACTAGGATTTTTATTCATACAGGGCCTACACCCAAACCTCAAGGAAATGATTCATCCAGAATTATACAGAGATCTGTATCAAGAATACAATGCCCTTCAGATATTCTGACAATGGTAGTTAGGGCTGATAAAAGTTTAAATTTAAAATATTTGAACATAAGTTGTCTATTCTTGTTTTAGACTTTAATTAAATTGTAGGTTTTGCACCATAGTGTTCACATTTCAAGTGAAACTCTTCCTTAATTAACAAGAATTAAAGTTGGCACTGACCAGGAGATGAACTAGATGATTTCATGATTCTATTTTAATATTGGCTCCCTCCCACTGAAATCTACCCCTATGTAATTATACACATATTTACTCTCCAAATGCACATAAAACAGAGTGTTATCTATCTTATGTGTAGCGAACTCTTAAGTAGGAGGTTGCTCGTAGTATAAAAATTAAACTGTAATAACATATATGATATGATCATATATCAACTGAAACAATGCGGATGAGGTTAATGTAGTCAGGATGTATCCTTAATTAAGACACAACACACATAACAAGATAATACCTTTTTGTGAGGAATGAGTTCAACACATGCTTGATACACCTGTCTTGTTCTCTCTGGATCCTAAAAAGCAAATCAATCTATGTTACACAGTTGGAACAAGGCTTCCAGGCAAGTGCAATTCAAAATATTGTAAGAAAAAAGACATCTAGTTACATTTTATCACTTAAAGCAATTCTTACTGCTTGAAAAACCTTTGAAAATCTTCATTCCTATCGTGACCTCTTTTTAACATTTTTGTCTTTTGGGGCAAAATAAAATTGTTCACCTATCTAGGACTGTATTTTCAGAACATATCATTTGAGTAATTAAAAATGTCACTGCTAATTTCTGAGCAGATGGCAAGCCTCTTTAAAGCCTTGTAGTGTTTAGAGCTTGGATATATAAGAACCACTCTCATGTGAGATGGGCAACTATAAAATATAATAAATACATATCGTATATCAGTGTGGTATGATCAATTATATACCAAGTTATGGAAAAAATCTATATGGCTGCGGAGTATCAGTGCTGACTTGATGGCACATAGTCCAATCAATGATACACCAAGAATACTTTCATAGATCCCCATTTGCTGTGTGATTTTTTTCAGCAATGGCACACTGCATTTGGAAACATCTCCTGACACAGGTTTATTACTACCTTTTAATGAATGCCAACAATGAATATGAGTGGAGAAAGGTATGCATGTAGGCCATTTTCCAACGTATTAAAATATTTATATACCATAAAGAAATCAATTAGATTTTACAATGCTTAAGTGTTGGAGGGAGGAGTTATAAAGAGGACCATAATCCTCTTGTCTCATCATCCCTGTTTTAGGCAATGATTGAAATATATATTTTTAATTTTTCTGGAACTGTTAAAGGTTTTCCTAAATTAATGCACAATTTATTCTGTTTCGATAGTTACTAATGCTGACAGTTGCAGAAGCTGATTTTAAAAAAAAGGTGTATGGCAATAAGCTATATAACTTAGTCTGCTTTCTTCTATGCTTTTCTTAGGAATCTAGTCAGCTATATGAATGATTCATCAGAGAGTGTAAGAGTATCCACATGCTAATAGGTTGTACAGTATCAAATTTCCTAAATCAAGTCCCATTTAATCAAAGAAGATGCAAGGTTCATGGGTCATTTTCCTTTACCTTTGCCTCTAGCTCTTCATAAAGTGCATAATTGATCCACAGATAGATGTACCTCTTCCAGTGTCGTTTTTCTTGAATTGGAGGAACGTTGGCAATGGCTCTTTCATAAACTTCACGTATTGTATCAGATTCTGCATCACTCTCCACCAGACGCAGATAGTCAAACCAAGCATCATAATTATGTGGATTAGCCTTTCGAGATAAATGGGGAATACTTTCAGAAGCACAAGCATGGTACAAAATTAGCAATGTAATTGTCAAAGCATGGTTTACTGATTGGGTTTCTGTTAATTCATCAGTTCAACTAAACAAGTCACCCAGAGTCACCTTGTAGGGGAGATGGGCAACAATTAGTATTGCTGTATCCAATTTCAGAACTGCTAAGGATTCAACATAAGAAACAATGACAGTAGCAGTGCAACAATTGTGATTTATATGAACATAATTTGTAAATTCTAAGAAAATGTCTACTATTCGTTAAAAGGAAAACAGGTTTTAGTACAAAATAACTGGTAAAAAAGGGGGGAAAACCTATAAGCATATTGATAATGTACTATTTACTGATGCATCCTTTTTTCATTCTGCAGTTTATGTTGAGTGGTATACAGAGTAGTACTTTCTTCCATTTTATCCATAGACCTTCAGGCTGAGAGATAATGATTTTTCTACAGTCAGCCAGTGAGTTTCTGTGACTGGTTTCAATTTGAACACAGGTATTCTGGCTATAGTTCAACACCATTACAATTATGTTAGGCTGGCCAAATTACACACTCCATACTTATAGTAAAACAAAAGCAGCCGTCAAGGGAACTACCATTGAAGTATACAATTCCCCTAAAGTTCAAGCCTTTGCACTTACTTTTACTTCTTCTTCATATTGGAATCTCCTCTTGCTAACAATAATATCCTCAATTCCCCTTCGGTCCCCAAATTTCTTCTCAAAAATTGTATAATTTTTGAAGAGCTCCTGTGCCTCATGTTTTGGAATTCTGTCCAGGGCATATTTGAATATTACTCGCACCCGTTCAAACTAAAAAGGAAGGGGGGGAAAGGAGGAAAAAAAGAGCACTTTAAAACAGATTAAACTTGATCCTCATTAGTATATTCAGTAACTCTCAATTTTCAGTTAAAGCAGATGCTGTGAAAAAAATTCTTTTTGAAACCTTGAAGAGTATTACACAAATGAATAATGTGCCAGGCCAGTTTTATATTATTATACATCAGAATAAAATTTTATATTAAAAAAATGAAACCAGATAAACACATAACTTGGGGGGAGGGGACAGTGTTGTTTATATCATTGTTTACAGCTTACATAATTTGTATTGTTATATATCACATCTATAAAAGAAATATAAAAATATTGAGAAGTTCATTATTATAGTGAAGCTGTATATATTAAAGTCAAGAGAATTAAATAGGCTTAATTCAGTTAACTTAAAAAAAAAATCAGCTGCAGTCTTAAACACTTCAGAGACTAAATAAAATAAAACTGCTTCCTTAAGACATCAGAATGAAGATCAGCAACGGGATGTCCATGAGCATTAGGTCGCTGCCAAGCCCCTTATCACTTCCAACAGGTCTCTTCCATCACCCTCTTGTCCCCCCAGAGAAGACTGACCTCACTCTCTCCTGCTTACTTGGTTTCTGATATTCCAGAAGTACATACTCGATCACTCAAAAGGAATTTCTCTCTGTGAGAATCCACATGCATAGCAGAGACAACAGATCTCTGTTCAGATCATGTGAGAAGACTGGTAAAGGGGACATCTCATAAAGATAGCTTAGACCCAAGATATAGCACAGGGGTCGGCAACCTTGGCTCTTTTATGACTCGTGGACTTCAACTCACAGAATTCCTGAGCCAGCTGGCTCAGGAATTCTGGGAGTTGAAGTCCACGAGTCATAAAAGAGCCAAGGTTGCCGACCCCTGGTATAGCAGAACAGAAAGTTTTGCTGTAAGAATATAAGCTTGTATATTATGTATACAGCATGTTTTATTGTAAACCATGCAGAGATTCAAATATTGGGCAAATTTAAAATTCTATAAAACCATAAATGGAAAATTAAACAAAAATTGTCTTAAAGAAACAGCTATAATGTTGCTCATAAAATGCAAGCTAATAACAAATAACATGTTACCTCTTTCTGGTTCTCTTCAAATTTGGCAAATGCAACATACAAATATTCATTCATATGTTCTTCTCCAAAGAATTCCACAGCTCTTTCAAATACTTTCCTTGCATGTACAAAATAACTATGTTTCTCTTCAAAACGAGCATATTTGATCCAATTCTTAACATCAGGATGGACCATGACAAGTAGAAGGCATTAAGGAACTCGAAACAAGATGTATTTCATTGAAAGGTTTAGTATAAGATCAACCTGCTGCTAATAATTACTAAAGTTATAAAAAAACCATTTTTTTCCTTGGGAAAACAAAAACTTTGGCAAGATGAGCAATTAAAAGACCCAAATAATTTATACATAGATGCAACTTGGCTTAATATAGCAGCAATGCTGGTGCATACATTTCTTCACCAATAAATGTTTGTGAGTATGGATTTTGATCAGAAAATCTATATTGTAAAGCCAACCTCTATGCATAATAAATCAAAAGATGTTCCTTTTACACAAGACTGGAAGGCAAAATGCAAACAAAAAAATGCTGACTTTAATCCAAACATTAACTTAAAAGGATATATCTCTCATAAATGGAACGTGCTCTATCCACTTCCTTGTATCTTAGCTCAAAGTTAATATAGGAATGCCACGACTGTTCCTCTGGCTGCCATTCCATCCAACGCTCAAACACCTGGCGGGCCCCAGCAACATTCCCCAGCATCTCTTCCATGTAAGTATATTTGTACCTTTTAAAATAAAAACAAGGAAGATTATATCATTCAGAATAATAAATAACCTGCCTATTTATATCTAGTAAAAATAATTCTTCATAAAGAAGTAAATAAGGAAACTTTTTAAAAAAGCAACCACATACTGAGCCTGGATCTGGAGTGTTTGCATATTTGGCCCTTAGCATACAAAGCCTAGAGTAATGGATTCCAAATCTGGAATCACCACCGCAAGCAAGAAAACTGGTTATCAAGTGCATGACAAGATGGTAAGAGTCAATGAGGTCTTGCAGTTATAAGGTCGAACTAGGAGCACTTTGCTTTCAACCACAGAATATGACTGTTGATTATGGGCCAATCACTGTTCCTCAATCCACTTTATTTCACAGTCTTGTTACAGAGATAAAATTTGAGGGAATCTTATGAATGTCCATTTGAGCCCCTTGAGGAAAACCAGCAAATAACTTTTTTCAATCCACAAAACACTTTTCTCTCTCTATGTCTCTCTCGCTTACATATTGTCTGTTTGAAACCTAATGGAAGTGCTTAGCTTACCAGAACTGATTAACTCTTGGTAAAATAGTGATAGCCCGATCCCAGATATTTCGCGCATGATTAACCTGACGATTCTTCATTTCCATTTCGGCATACTTCAGCCAAAGAGTTACATTTCGGTAATCCACATCTAGAGCACGCTCGTAGATGGAACGAGCCCTAAAAACAACACATTACTGAAATTAACGCATATCCAATTCATTTCCTAAAGAAGTGGGCATTATTAGATATTCATATTCAGAATTTAAAAAATGCTTGTCGAGAATTACCTTTGTATTTCTTTGAGGCTTTCTTCCCATTGTGCGTATTTGATCCAATTACTAATAACAGTCCGGTTTTTCCTTATGTTATCTTCAAAAGTCTTGGGAGAAAGCAAAGAGTTTACTTCTAGAAAGCAAATAACTCTGCTGTAGATCCACAAAATCTATATCAGAAAAATCTGATGAACTATGTTCAGTAAAATGTGTTAATCAGGAAGATTTCAAACAAGTAGCCTATAATACAGAAGCCAGTATAATCAAATTTTACTGCTTACATTTTTTTTGACTCTGTAATCCGTTTATTTAGGGTAGAGTCAGGGTAACTGAATGGAGCTGAACTGGATGCCCTTCCTGACGTAGAGTTTGCAGCAGGTATTTTCTCTTTGTGCATTTGTTGTTACCTAGGATTGAACTCTCAACCCTCAGAGTGGGAAGTGAGCATCTAGGCTACCGTGCTGCTCAGATTTTACGGCTGACAATATCTCTCATGAATGCTCTCAGAAAATTCCACTTTCCTTTTATCCTGTTATACCCAAGAAACCAGGAGACACAACTTCATTCAAAATTTTCTCTTAGTAACTAGTAGTGATCCAATTTTACTTTTCCATATATATAAAATCTCTTATGCAGGCTTTTGTTGCATATTAGGGTTGAAAACTACATGAGAAACTGAGATGCTATATGGTTTCTCACTTCATGCAATCCTAACAGTGGGTTATAAACATGAAGAGGCAGCCAATAAACAGTGGCTCAAGGATCTGAAAGCCCAATTAGATGTGACTACAATAGCAGGAAGGAGTATTCTTGGGCAGCCATTCACTTTTTTTCAAGCCAGCTACACATCTAAGCCAAACAGCTGTTCCCAAATTCAGAAAAACCCTAACTCTGGCCAGATTTAATGCCTTTCCAAAAGTTCGTCCTAAGGGGGAACTACAGGGAATTCTATCTGAAAAAGACTTTGGGTGAAGGAATTTCACTAAACCATATTTTTTTTATATTCCTGGATTGTGGTTAATAATACCTCACCTACTCAGATTACCAGGAATCCCAAATCCATTTTATTTACAGTTATAATCCAAACTAAGTGATCTTATTTCCCATCATATGGCTGGGTTTGTTTAACTATTTGTAAAATACCATACCAGCCTTATTAGGATTTACTATGATCTTTATTTGTTGTCTTACATTTGCTTTTCTTTCAGTTTTTGAGTGGTCAAATCTTTATCACAAAGCAATACAGTATTTTATTATAAAGTATCATGTCTTATGTACCTTTCTTTTCCGAAGCTTGTAATCATTTAGCTCCTCTTCATCTGTGATTTTCTGTTGAGGAGGTGGGGGAAGAAGCTCGAGTTCTCTCTCCTTTGCTTCTCTTAACAATTGTTCTGCTGTTATCTGTACTTCTGCTGGAGCTTTATTTTTCACCTGATGGAGAACATTTTTAAAAACTACAATCAATTTTAGAAACCCATCTTTGGAATTGACATGTGGCACCGAACCTATAACTTTACAGCCTCAGAGACCTCTTGCCCCTGCCGAAATCTGGTAGCACTGGAAAACACAGAGCCAGAGTTTTTTGCTTTGGAAAGTGCTTGAAGATGCATACGATAACAGGTGCAGTAAGTCTCTAATACTTCACACAGTGCAATTGATATAGGTAGTCCTTGACTTACAACCATTCATTTACTGAAAGTTGCAACAGCACTGAAAAAAAGTGGCTTACGACTTTTTCAAATTTACAACTGTTGCAGCATCCCCATGACATGTTATCAAAATTTGTACACTTGGCAATTGGCATGAATTTATGATGGTTAATGTCCTGGGGTTATGTGATCACCTTTTGTGACCTTCTGATATGCAAAGTCAATGGGGAAGATGGATTCAGTTAACTGTGTTAATAACTACAATGATTCACTTAACAACTGTGGCAAGAAAGGTTATAAAATGGGGCAAAACTCACTTAACTGGCATAGCAACAGAATTTTGGGCTCAATTGTGATTCATAAGAGGGAGGGAGGGAGGGAGGGAGGGAGGGAGGAAGATTTCACATTGATTCATCTATTACACATAACTGCTATACCTGTAAAGGTTTGATTTGTGATTAGGCAGACCTAAAACTATAGCGTAAATTTCACTAATGTAAACTATATGATGCTAAAACCAGACAATAAGAGAATAAGAGTTTCACAAAATGAAACTGTTTTGCCTTTGCAAGAAAATTTGATAAGACACTTCGCTCAAATATTAAAATTAAAGCTTAAAGCTTACATTCCACTCCTAACACTCCTTCTCAACCCTTGACCTAGTACCATTGTACCTAGTACAATCTGAAAAGGGGTTCTAGTCTTATTTTCTTGTGGCAAAATCAAAATCTCTTCATGATCAGCAACACAGAGATCTATTTCCAAAGCAAACGGTTTCCTTATCCTGTTACTCAGGTGGCAATGCCCAGGATTAAGCTACCAGCTGCAAAAATCCAGACAAGTACTAGATAATAGCAAAAAGATGCAGATGTTTGTGTCCCTCACATGATTACCTAGATTTTTGCAGCCAATGTCTTGTGTTTCTGTCCATATTGAGGATGCAAAGGCATTGTGCTATACTAAAAAGTAATCAAGTAGAACAAGGGTTGATTTTTCATAGCTTGTTTCAGGTATTAATTTGGTTTTTTTTCACCTCCTGCAACAATATTGCACATTTATTATCTACCTTGGGTTGGTTATTTAGAACTCCAGTTTGCTTTTAAAGTCCCTCACTGGCCACTAACTTACACTTTGAAATATAACAAGCAGCATCTATGAAACAAAATAGTATATATCAAAGCTCATAGCTTAAACTAAATATTTAACCCAGTGTCAGAACTGTGTTAAAAATTGTATTAAAATTCCACTTCTGTTTTATCTTTAACAAGCTCATTTAGGCAAAAAAAACCCCTTTATTTTTAAAAAATCTTTCTTAATCACAAACCCTGCCAATGTTATTGGGATTGTCTTAGAGATGTAGCTTTTGCCTATTCAAGATCCATAATCATCTATCCATCCCGCCTTCCTAAGGAGAAATGAAGACATTTGACAACTTTGATCTTTGTTATTATTTCCTAATTTGAAACTCACCAATTCATTATTTTATTTATCATACTTAACTGCCCATCTCCCTCAGATATAAATTTTAGTTTGTTTTGGACAATAGGAACCGTTTTATAGCTTTCTATTCTAAAGCCGTGCTATTTCTCAGAACTGCCAAAAACCGTTTTGAATGAATAATAATTATTTGGATAAATTGGTATACCCTGAATTAAAACAGTAGTCCAGTTAGCTACCCACTGTATGCATTTTGAGGATAAATAGCCTCAGGCTGCAATTGCACTTTCTTAGGAGTAAAGCCTATTGAATCCAGCGCTGCTACCTATGTGTTTTGCAGAGATGTGAATAATTGTCCCCTCCGACATTTTCTTCTAAGCAAGTAAACAGATATAAAGACTATTTCTTGTAACACCAAAGATGATACAAAGTTTAATGAAGTACGGTATTTTTTCATATTGTGCAAGTTGTCCCCGATGACATTACTATAATAGTGTACTTCTTTAGGCAAATATTTTACTAGGATTTTATTGGTGTTTCCTTTAAAATAAAATCAGATTCAGAGTTTGTTTTTATCCAAAAGGAAACTTGATCCTAAAGCCGTTTTATTTAGAACACAAATCCCGGAGTTCTTCGGCGACAGGTTACAACGATCTGATTTACCCTGCCTTCCTTTTTATCGAGTGGGTCATGCCTATTTTTCACAAAATCCTGAAAATCTCAGGTCCCACGTCTATCCTTCCCATTAGGAAACAAACACTTATACTGAGTTCAGCGAGACCCAGCTCCAAGGACATAGGCCACCGCTGTCTGTGCGCTTCCTGACAAATTCGCACTTTGCCTCCCCTGCCCACCTTTGCCACTTTGGGAATTCGCTGCTTCCCAGCCGCCGTGGACGCCATCTTTTCTCCCGTTCTATTAGTCTACGCCGCCTTTTCCTCCTCCTCCTTCTCTTCAGCTTGAACTTTGACCTCCCAGCATACCTTGCGCCGTAGAAGGTTGGGCTTTTGGTTGCCATAGGAACAGACAAACAGCCCGATCTCCATTGACTGGATTCAGCGTCCGCGGCGGAGCGGTGTGTTTTTTCCCCGCAGAGCTCCCGCGCCTGGTCCTGAAGGGTGGCCGCTCGTGGGGAGGTGAGCCTTGGAGAGTCTCCTGCAGTTGGAAACGGGCATTGAGCCATCACGTCCGGTTCTGCTCTTTCAAGTATTAGTTCTTGGAGCCGTTTCTGTTCTCTTCGCCCGAAATTCCCATGACGCCGATGGGGAATGGAAGCAGAGCAATTACCAACGTGGATGTTTATTTTGGCTCTGCAAAAATCCTTTTCCGTGGGCTTTGAGAATTCTGTTATATTTGGATTGAATCTCAATTTGGTTTTAAAAGAGGATGTATCAAGCAAGTGGCGGGACCTAGCCAATCATGGGATAGGAACTATAGTCACCTTTCGTTAGTGATGATTGTCCACCTTGTAAGTAAAGGGCTGCAGGCTAGTTGATTAGATCAGGGCTTTTCAACCTTTTCACACATAGTACCACTTTTAGGATATGGCAACATCCGAGTACCACCAGTCGCCTAGCAAGGCGTCAAAAACTTGATGACCCCCCCCAAAAGGAAAAAAGTGATAAAATACAGGTAGTCCTCGACTTACAACAGTTCTCTTAGTGACTGTTCGAAGTTACAATGGCACTGAAAAAAGTGCCCCCCCAAGCCACAGCCGAGAAAGACAGCACCTGGCGGGGCTCTTCCTCCTGTCCAAGGTTTTCATCATTGTGAGCATTTCTGTTGAGGATTGGCAGTGGGGGTGGGGTGGGGGTGTTTAGTTTTTATTCCCCCTGTCTGCTGGGTGGTTGCAGCAGGTTTTGGTCACTTCACGTGACCGTGGGACACTGTGACTGTCATAAATATGAATCGGTTGCCAAGCATCTGAATGTAAATCACAAGACCCTGGAGATGCTGCAACATTCCAGCTGATCAGCGCTTCTTCTGGGCTCAGCAGAAGCGTCAGGATCAGTGCCGAGCTCCAGCTGGAGCCTGGCGCTGATCCTGGCACTTCCAATGAGCCCTGACAGCCCCAAAGAAGCGCCGATCAGCTGGAAAGCAGCACTGATCCTGGCGCTTCCGCTGAGCCCTGACAGCCCTGCAGCTCCAGCCATCTCTCGCTCAGGCTTGTGCGGTGCTGCCACCGGTTCAGCTCATTCCCCTCCCCCGCTACCACTTTTCTAGGATGGTTGCATACCACCTGCCAGGTGCCAATGTACCACAGGTGGTACCCGTACCACTGGTTGAAAAGCCCTGGATTAGATGACAAAATCCACTTGGTGTTGGAATAGGTAGGTAGGTTAGACCTGGCAGTATTTGAATGGGAGACCCCAGGCAGTGCCATTAGTTTAAGTTTAGGAAATTAACAAAAAAAAAAAACCTAGGGCAGGGGTAGGTAACCTTGGCTCTTTTATGACTCGTGGACTTCAACTCCCAGAATTCCTGAGCCAGCCAGAGTCATAAAAGAGCCAAGATTGCCTACCCCTGCCCTAGGAGATAACAAGTGTCATTTTGGTCTAGTGATTAAGACACCAGCCCAGAAAGCAGGAGACTGTGAACCCTAGTCCTGCCTTAGCCATGAAAGCCAGCTGGGTGACCTTGGGTCAGGCACTCAACTCTCAGCCCAATTCACCTCACTGGGTTGTTGTGGGGAAAAGAGGAAAGTGTGTTGGATATGTTCACCACCTTGAGTTATTTGTAAAAGTCACAAAGGCAGGATGTAAATAAATTAAAAACTTACTTGTGTGTTATTGCCAAGAAAACTACAGAAATACTATCCAAAGAATCAAGCTTGATAGAGAGATTAGTCCCCCCCCCCTCAGGCATTAAAATATACTGCTCACAAAAATAAAGGGAACATTTTACCATGGAACTGAAGGGGTTTGCATTCCCTTTATTTTTGTGAGCAGTATATATTTCTAAAGACTGAGTCCCAATGATGGCTGTTAACAACCTTTTTTCTGCCACTCTAACCAAACTTTAGCAAACCTGTATAACTCACCCTTAGTTTCACATCCATCGAAGGTTGAAAGTCTTGTTTTAAATGTACAGTACCAATCCAGACTGTGCTGGTTTGTTCTGTTATAGTGGTTTCACTTAAATTTCAAGTGGTATGATCCATTCTATTATCATTTATATAAAGGATTCCACTACTTTATTGTTTTATGTGATACATCCTGCTTATCAGTGATCCCTAACCATGACCCTTGGACACCTGTTTGTCTACATACTACTAAAGCTTATTCCTATAATATTTAACTGGGCAAAACGGTGCACCATAGGATAAAAATTTTGAACCAACATACTTCAAATGGGCTAACCTAAAAAAATATGTCTAAAATCCAGGACCCATGATTCCCGTAGAACTGAAAAATTTGAAAACATTGTATAAAACATTTTATAACATAAAAATTCATAAAAATCATAAAGCATTTTATGTCATAATACAAAATGTCATAAAACATTTCCTGTGGTGAAGTCCTGATGTTTAACTGTGCTATATAGTTCAACCTGGGATATTTTCAGAGCAGATGTATCTCTGAATATTTCCCTGAACTCATAAGAAGTTTTAAAGTACATTAGAAACTCTGCCATTGTACGCTTCCGGTTTTGCACAGTTAGCAAAACTGGGTAAGAATATTGAATCTCTCTCTTCTACCTGATTGATCTCCTGGAAAAAAAAACTCAATAAAACAAAAATCCTCTGAAAGTGAGAGGAGGGGGATTTTTGCTCCATCCTCCTACAGACATGGAGGCCATCTTTCACGAGAGGGTGAGCGAGCCTTTTGCCTTCCCTTACAGAAGGTGGGATGTGTGTGAGGTTAAAAAGAAGCGAAGCGAGAGGAAAAAAAGGCGGCTGGCGTGGAAGCTTGCCAGCGAAAATTTGCTGTTTCAGTTCCTTGGGTAGTTCAAAGGCTGGGATGTCTACGAAAATCTCTTTTTAGTCTTTTATACTTTATATTCAAACTGCAGAGGGGAAGAATAAGAATAAAGCCAATGTCTTGTGATTTGGAGATATTATTATTAATAATATATATTAATTATTGGTCAAATGTAAAGGTAGACCTACAGTATAAGGTTTAATCAGATCTATTTATTAAATTGGGTTTAACTTAAAGGTAAATTAAAAGTAATCTGTTCACTGACAAAGTTTCAACTTTAATTTGTTTGAAGTCAATATCCATATTAAACTCCAAATGTAAATTTTTCCACCTTGTTTGACAACTTGTTAAAAATAATTCAATCTTTTACAAGCAACCAAATTTTGTTTTATTGGGCCAATTTCATTCCACTTAGAAAGCTGACATTTCCACTCATTAAGCCAAATGAGTATGCCAATGGTAAATGTCCCAAAAGATTAATAAAATGCCTTCTTGTAATTTAAAGCCACACAGTGCATGGTAACATTAATAGTATTAACTTACCTTGAACAAAATCCTAGTCTTTTAGATACACTAAAAATTGAAGGGTTTTTTTTTTCAACTACAAAGGTAAACCTTGTAGGGTAGGCAAGGCGGGTTGTATGACGTGTGTGAGTTCCGGCACCTTTTTTTTTTTAACAAAAAAAGCACTGCTTAAGTGTAATTAACTCTAAGAAAACCTTAACAGGGAAAAATGTCTTTTGAACAGTGCGGGGAAAATAAATTTAAGTGAGAACTTTAAAAACAGGATCTATGACAAGGTGATTAAAATGATTAATTAGAAAAGATTTATATTGATGTGGTTGTTACTTGTAGAAATACTAGACAAATTCTATATTCAATTGTTATCTATTAAAATTACTAAGAAATGTACTAATTTAAGGTTGATAAAAGAGAATATTATTGGAAGAAGAGAAAATCAAGGAAAGCTATTATGTGGAGTATGGAATTATAGAAATTAATTGTTATTGATTGTTTGTAAATATAAACCCAGACAACATGCTGCTTACCAAATATTAATGATGATTATGTTTTAAAAAATCAATAAAATATATTAAAAGAAAAGAAAAGAAAGAAACTCTGCCATTGTTGAAGCCATTGAGGAATCTGGTAAGGAAATATCTCTAAAACAATGATCCAAGAGTTCACGGATGGTCTGGTTACATGCTAAAATTCAGCTCACAGTTTACCTTGAAATAGGCGCTATTGAATTATAAATTAAACGTACATCCGTAAGAATTTCTTGACTGAAATATTTAAGGAATGCTGTGATTTTAAAATATTTCTGGAGATTAATTTTGAAACCATTTCAGTAATATCTTTGATGATAAGTGATAGTATTGAAATGGAATATTTGGTTATTGTTTTGTTACAGTATGCATGATGTCTTCCTTATCATCTGCAAGAATCTCATCTACACCACTATCTTCAGTTGTATTAAGTGCCAGAAGGACAGAATCCCATGATATTCTTAATATTGTCAGTCTTATGAAATATGATACAGAAAGACTGTTTGGCAGGATTAATGTCATATATCTTTTGTAAGTAACACCATTATAATACTTTCTCATATATCTAAAATAAATAAATGAATTCTCTTTTACTAATTTCACTTCAAAAACATAACATTTATTTTACAGAGAAAAAACTAATCTTGCAGTGACTGTGATTAATGACAAAAATATAAGTGTTGCTCATGCTGCATTTTTGGATTATCCTAACTGGGGTGTTGCTGATGCAGCTAATTGGGAAGTATATATGAAACAAAACTATCCTGAGACAAAGTGTACAGTAAGTATGGGACATTTTTCCGCTTGAAAATTCTAATTCTAATTCATTTTTGTATATTCTCAGAGGAATAAAGGCATAAGATACTTTATTTTTAATTACAAGAAAGCATGAAAATGATTTTATTTGCTAGTATTCATTGATTTTATATCCTTGTCTTCTGAAGTCAATCTCCAAGTATTGCTAGCTTTGTTTCACAGACAGAATAAGAACAGGTATTTTTTGTTACATTATTGCATCTTATTAACAATAAATGGCTCTGGCTATTAAAAATTCCAAAGGCAATTATATACAGTAGGTGTTTAAAGAAAAGGTTTTTTTCCAGGTATCATATATCTCATCTTTAACACTTAATTTTTTCCAAAAACAAATTCTAAAGAAAGGATCAGGGCAATCTTTAAGAAGAGATAAGCGAGAGAGTGAATAACCTTTCCCAGAGTTAACAAAGCTGTTCTCCAGAGGCAAGGCAAAAACTCTAATGTCCATCAAAATAATGTCAAAAGTAATAAATACATCGAGGACATTGGAAAGTGAAATAGCTGCACACAGAGAAATATAAGTGGATATTTTGAATTATAAATGGTTTGCTTATGGAGTTTTCAGCATAAGAAGGAAACCATTATGTTTCCTTTTGCAATGGGAAAGGTAGCAAGAGCAAAAACTACAGGGGAATTAGTCTGGTAAGTGTTTGAGGCAATGTTTGGTAGAAGGGGTAGAAGAAGTGACAGTGAACCACATCTCGGAAATACCGCATAGCTTTATTTGGGGGCAGTTGATGTATAAACCAGATTATTGTTCTTTAGTGTGTAATTGAGAAATGTATGCATATAGGAAAGAAATGTCTTTTGATTTAAAGAGAACCTGATAGTGAATAGTGTTGAATCATGAAGAAAGAGAGGAAGGTTAGCAGGAAAATAAATTGGCAATATGTGTAATGGAATAAGAAGGTAAGAAACGGTATCCTGCAAGTATTTGGGTCCCAGCATTATTCAGTTGTTCATAAATGATTTAGAATTCTGCAAATCTAATTAGGAAGTAAAATTGACAGATGATACAAAATTATCTCGGATACAGTAGTAAAAACCCAACTGGATTCTTAAAAAATTCCAAAACAAACACTGAAAGCTTGGTGATTAGGCCACTAAACAGCAAATGCAATTCAATGTCAGCATTTTTAAAGTTATGTCTATCAGAGTGATAGGTCAGATCATCTACACAGTGTGCAGATAAGAAATCAAATTCCATGGTAGTGGTCACTGGAAAAGGAACAGATTAGAAATAAGCCAATTATCAGTGTTGAATTGCAAAACAGTAGATCAAGAGGGAGGGGAAGGCTGAGGAAGTCATGGATGGACAGAGTTGATCAGAAGCTCAAAGAGAGTTTAAAAAACAAAAGGCCATCTATCTATATGATATGGTGGAAGCAAGAATACAAGCCTACAAGGAGAGAAATGTATGAACAATATGAAAGGTATGAACAGTGTTGATATAAACTAGATTTATCTGTTTCTTTTTTCTTATTTAAGGCTTTTGATATTTTTTTTTGGCTTATTGTTACTCCTTTTCAGTGCTATGTATAAAAATGTTTATGCAGAAAGGGAACAGCATGATGTGTATGTGGGGTCAACTTTTGTGTTTATCCCAAGTCAACATATAGTTCTAGGTAATAGAATAACTTACAAAAAGGACAACAAAATACAGTGAACTTTAAAAAATTCCTTTAAAAGATTTTTCATAACTAAAATACTAGAGTAGCTATTGCAGCGTTGCATTCATTTTTACAAGAACAAAACTAAGTTATATTAAAATGAAATGTTTTTTGTTAAGTTTGTAACTTTTTTTATTCACAGCCTTTGAATACACTATTTATGCATCTGTTTGTAGCAACTGATGAATATGCAGTAGATTGTTGTCACGAAATTATGAAGTAAGTGAATTTTGTGAAGATCCTATATAGAAACTCTGTTGGAATTTTAAGAATGAACTCGTCTTTGACATTGGATTCTAATACATTTCTGTTTAAAAGTTTTATTCTGAAAGATTCCAAAGGCTTATTCAAAGAAGGGAATTGCAGTGTAGATCTCTTTCAATTTGGTAATATGTAAGTGTATATTTCTGTTTATTGGGTATTTGCAAAGCAATTGTCAGCCCTTGTTGAATTTATTTATGTATTTATTTGAGGTATACCAGATATTTGAGTATCTTTTCATTAGTTTTCCTGGTAAACCAGATAGGAAACGCAACTAGATGAACTACATCTACTCTATTGTAAGATTTCATTAACGGAACCTTACAAATCTGAAAGTACAAACTTCCCGCCCACCATTTTTAACTGCTAGATCCATTGGGGAGGGTCCTTCTTAAGTTTCTTTCTTTGACCATTAAACAATTAACAGGCTCCTTCCCCTCTTACCTGACAATTTCCTAGGTAGCATTTCTCCCCTTTCCTCAAGCTTATCCATGCATTCCATTACACTCTTAAATAGTCAAGATGGCTAATAGAAATAAACAGAAGCAGAATATATAAGCTTAAAATATCCACCTCCACACTGCAGTTCCTGCTCCCCTCCACCCATCTTCTTTAATTTCATATTATTATTGTACTTACATTATTTATTATTTTATTCCTTTGTTATTGTTATGTTAACATTTTTATCACTTTTTTCCATGTTATTGTTGTAAGTTGCCCAGAGTAGCCCCATGGTGAGATGGGCAATTTAACAAACAAATAAATAAAATGAGTCTGTATAGTGTATATTCATCAGCAAATTGCATGTACAGGTAGTCCTCAACTTACAGCCCTTCATTCAGCAACTCTTCAAAGTTATGATGACACTGAACAAATGGAGATTATCATTGGTCCTCGGAGTTCTGGCCATCCCACCATTCCTTTTGTCATGTAACTGTAATCTGGGTTCTTCGTAACTGGCTTGTATTTATGAGTGGCAGTAGTACCCCAGGATCACATGATCACCATTTGCTAACTTCCCTGCCAGCTTCCCCAGAAAACCAATGGGGAAGACAGGAGGAATAGTCTCATGTCACTGGGGTAAGTCTGTCCCCTACGTACCCTCTCCTACCCATTCTGTGCTCACATTGTGCTGTATCCCCACATACTATCTGCACTGTGCTGCACTCCCACACCCGCACTGTGATGTACCCCCACATACTATCCCCAACTATTGCTGTCATTCCCTTGTGCACCCCTGTGTATCTTCCTTAGCTCTCGCCGTGCCTCCCTCATACTCTCATGCATCCCCTTTGTACCCTTGCTGACCCTCACTATATCTTTCACACACCCTCCCCAAGCCTCATCACATCTCCTTTCCACCCTCCCTAACCTTTGCCACAACTTTCTCACACACCCTGCAGACCCTTCCTGACCCATGCAATGCCTCTCATGCACACCCTCCCAACACATATGGCACCTCTTATGCAACCCTTACACCCTCACACATCCTCCCCAATCCTGTCGGGCCAGTTCATCACCTCTCAAAAACTCCATTGCTCCTCCCACACATGGCAGCAGCCACTTACTTGCCTGCCAGCCTGGAACTTTCAACTTCCTGCCAGCTTCCCCATTGACTTTGGTTGTGGGAAGCCTGCAGGAAGTTGCTTTATCTAATGAGAAAACCAGCTTGATCTAGTCATTAAGGCACCTTGCTAGAAACTGGGAGACAATAATTTTAGTCCTGCCTTGGCATCAAGGTCACCTAGCTGGGTGACCGTGGACCATCACTCTTTCTCACCCCAACCCACCTCACTGGGTTGTACATACATACATACATACATAAATGTGACAAGTATACTGAATACTCCCTCCTATTTTCCCCAACAACAACCCATCTTACTGGATTCTTGCTGGGGAAAAGCAGGAAGGAGTATTTGGTATGTTTGTGCCTTGAGTTATTTATTTAGATATTTACAACCCAGTGAGGTAGGGTGGGCTGAGAAAAAGGGCCAGGTTGAAGATAGTTCATCCTGGAAAAAAAATTATGTGGTTGCTATGAGTTGACACTGGCATGTAATCAATTAATCAAAGAACCAAATTGTCTTCAGTTTGTGTTATTTTTAAAATAAGTTTCTTTTGACAAATAGCTACTGTATAATTGTTACATAGCAAGACTGCATTTTTATTGCCTATCATTCTGTTTTCTAGTGCACTGTTTTATTCCCTTTTATACCATTGCAAGACTATTTTATTCTAAGGTTGTTTTTTTTGATACACAGAACTGGGCTGTCCAGGAACAAAACAGTACCTAAATGTAATAAATAGTAATAAAATAATGTTTGATAACACGAGATAATTTTTTATGAAAATTAGAATAGGCAGCTCAGTGAGCTCAACCTGCCATACTGCAGAAAACATATTTATAATTCTGTGAGCTATGCCACCAAGGTTTACTGGCCAGGGCTTGCCATTTTATCCTCTCCTTGCTAACTCTTATACTATACTTTTATAATATAATCACTTTAAATATCATTAAATAAATAAATATCATTTTATTTTATTTAGATAAATGCAGTGAAAGGTGTTATTTCAATATTTTAATAAACAGTTACTGCAAAACTGCAGTCTGCTGAGGAACAGAATGGAAGAAGCTTACAAGTCTTTTAGTCTCCTTACTGACCACTGGTAGTATTCCTTGTGAGAGAACTACTTGAAAGCATTTACAGATATATATGATAAGTTTGAGATAGGAAACATAACTGATATATTATAAAGTAGGCATGCAAATCACAGAATTACATTTTACCAATTACTTGTAGTTATTTTCAGAAATGCTTACTTATATAAAAAGCTGTCATTTCTCACTAGGCTGACCAAAAATTAGAAAGATTCTTACAGTGCCAACAGTAAGACTAACCCATTTTTATTTTATGATAAAGGCATTAAGATTAAGGCATAATCTTTCATCTTACTTCATCACAAAGCTTAAGTTCATGCCTTAAGGCATAAAAACAGGGGTCTTCAACCTTGGCCCTTTTATGACTTGTGGGCTTCAACTCCCAGAATTCCTCAGCCAGGCATGCTGGCTGAGGAATTCTGGGAGTTGAAGTCCACAAGTCATAAAAGGGCCAAGTTTGAAGACCCCTGCCTTAAAATAAAAATGGATTATTCTTAAAAAGAGTCCCCTTCTGAATTTTGGTTATCCCACATTAACATAGCTCTCTTCCTAGAACGTTCTCAGAAGGCTGGGCATTATAACATGTGGAAATCTGTTGATCCAGACTTGATCTTGAACTGGACATGGAACCATAATCAGAATAGTAGCCATGTATATATCATCCCACCGTTCAATAAGTTTACTTATCACATGTATATGTTGCAAGTCTAATCTTGGGATTAGCAACATAACACTCTTAACATCCACTTCCCTATTTATATTTAAAGTAAAAAATAAAAATAAAATGTTCTGAGGTGGGTTTTTTTTAAAAAAAAATACAAGTCTTGCAATATCTTGCATGAATTCTCAAGAAAATTAACTACTTTAATTTTTGGTCTTTTAACTTGGAATGGCAGCACCCAAATATTTGTGATCTTGTGATCTTGTCTATCTGACACCATTTCATATCTTCACTTGATTCCTGTGCTCTGAACAGTCTACCATTCTACTTTGGTAAATAAAATTAAAAGATGACTGTTATTTTGGTGTATATTATTTTTTTTACCTAAAATAAACAGCAAATAAACAAAATACAATATTGTCCACAGGACTGTTTTTAAAACTGTACCAGAATTACATTTCGTATTTCTCTTCATACCATTTCAAGAGGAATTGGGTAAGGATTTGTTTAAGTTCTTTATGGCTCCTAAAACCTTTCTTCCTTTTTATTAACCCAATGCAATTTTAAGAAATCCGCAGCAGACTCAGTTGCTACCTCTATTATTTGCTACCTCTGTTAGTATCGAAACAAGCTGATTCTACATCCCATCTCCCTGGTACTTCAGCTTGAAAACTGGTTACTATTATTTAGTGAACAAAGAAACAAATAACTTTCCATGTGCTAGATAATTATTATTCTGGCATGTGATCAATTACATTTGGAATGCTAAAAGCAAAAGAGCTATTGATCTTGAACATGCATTGGCAGCATTTGGCATTAAAAATCCAGCTGAAAAAATAACAAAGCAATAAAAATGTTATTAAATTAAGGGCATGAGGGAAATGCATACTACAACAGAAGATTTAGTATATAATAAGAATAAATCCTGTTCCCAAAAAGAATACTGTAATAAAAATGCATAGGAATTAGGATGTATTGGAAATGTATTCCTATCTTTGTTATGGGATTTTGTTGAAAAGTTGTCTGCTGTTTATAGTAATTCATTTTGTTTACTGGCTTTTGGCTTTGATAGTAATAAGTACGAAAATAAGAATGGATGATAATAATTCAATGAATCACCTAGCCATTACTGGTTTATAATTTAGTAAATTAGTAAATAACGAGAATGGGAATTGCAATTTAACCTCCTGATTTCCCAGATGACTGTAAACCACATTACCAGAAGGGTTTAAGTTACAGGAGGAGCATTTGAAGGATAGGAATTGGAGTTAGAGGTTGCTGAGTGGCCTCTTGCTGTCATTCATTCCAATACCTGATTTTGATTTTTGCCTTTGAATTTTAGTACTGGGATAATCTGAGTGCGGAGGAGATGCAGACAGGATGTTGAAAGAACACATGTAGGCTAGAGGTTGTCCACTCCCGCTGCAAAACAACACTCTTTATTTAAACATTTAAAATTAATAATAATTTTAATGCCAGACATTAGAAACAGTACTTACTGAAGGTTAGCTGAAGAGTAAATGCAGTCTTTGAGTTACCTGTAATACACATTTGTCGTTTTCAGGTATAGATTTGGCAGCAGCTTTTGAGCCCATGAGGAATCCTGTCAGTTCATCTCTGATTATGGAATATAGCCTCCATGTGTCACACAGGCATCAATATTGCCCCCAGTTGTATATTCGCTGTGCCAGGTAACATACTGCATTGTGTGTGAGAGTGAATTAATCTTCTGTCAGTATCTTCATTTGTGTCTTTCAATATTTCTTAATCATCCTTAGTGCATTTATGCACATTTTATAACATTCTATTCCAACATGCATTTTTGCTCTTAGTTCCTTAATATATTTATCTGGTTGATTTATTTGTATTATTCAATTCCAGTTCTTACCTATAAAAACCCTGCCACATTTCTTGAGCTGAGAGAGTGAATTTCTCTGGCTGAGAAAGGAATGGCTTTTCTACATGGGAATTAGTGATTTATCTTACAGAATTTGTAGTTGTGAAGAGGAAAATCTCTCTGACATACTAGTTACTAACTTTGTGATGATGATCATGAAACTAATATAATTTGTTGTTATTGAAGGAGAAGGAGGAGGAACATTCTCTCAAAAGCAGTTTGAAATGACAGCACCGAGATGCTAGTTTAGTTTCTATGGTAACGTGCTAAATGTGCAAGTGTCCTCTCATACCTCTTTACTTTGAAACATATTTAAAAGACATTTAATATTGAAAGAAAGAAGAAAATTGCTTCAATATTACATTTATTAGCTTCGCAGTCTTATGCTATATAGTTTGTTTCTCAAAATAAATCATTTAATTATATGGGTTTCTTCAACATTCTGACAGGTAATAAATGAGTTGGGAGTAACCAATTGTTAATTGTCCACTAGAGGTCATCATAGACCTTTTAAAATACCTCTTGTGTACAGCATTTAGTGAAGTTGGAGTTAGCAAAACAAAAACACAGAGACAAGAAGAAAGAAAAATCCAGATTTTTTTTAGTTCTGTTGTAAAATAATTAATAGAATAGGTAAGCAAAATAATGAAGGCTGGCTAATTTAAATCTTTAACCTTTGAAGGACCTTTGGCTTATAAAAAGATTTCTGTCCAAAAATCCAGTGTCTGAGGTATTTGAAACTTTGTGCCATCACCAGCTAAAAAAACATGTCACTCTTAGCAAGAGCTGAATACATTTTCCATCCAAGGTGTAACTTACTATTTTAACTTGCTTTATTACTTTTTTCAAAAAAAAGCATAGATAATTTTACAGCATGTATAAAACTATAGTTCAGGAAGCCTATCGCCAGTTATAAAAATAATACATATGTACTTCTAAACACATGCATGCTTTATATAAAAGAAAATATACATTTCTGTTTAAGCAAAACTAATAGTATTTATAGCTATTAATTTGTATTTTGACAAGAAAACAATTTACATTCAAACAATTGAAACAATAATTGTTATCCATAAATCCAAATACCTGATGAAATAATATATGTTGGTAAAAAGAATGTATTATTTCAACTAGCATTTGTGGTGAGATGGGCGGATAATAATAATAGTAATAATATAATAAAAATTTTGTGATTAACAAGATTAACTAAATTGAAACATATGAAATATTCTTCTTTACAAGGATATGATATAGTGCATGGAAAACCGATTTATTTGTACTTGCAGTAGACCAGAGATCAACTCAAAGGTTGTCTAGGAAGCTTTCTGAAAGTTTGTCCAAAGGAGTTCATAAAATCCATCATCAATCTGAATCAAATCTCATCCCATTCTTTGTTGTATCTATGGATGGATATATATTTTTGTAGTAGATTATCCTATAGATATCATAGAACATCTTTGGGAGTGCATTTTTATGTGGCCCTGGATCTGAGAGTCTATTCTTGCTTAATTGCTATTTTTTTTATTGAAAAGTTTTATAAAAATTACAATATAAACCCCTAAACCCATCCACCCTAATCCCCCCTCTCCCTCCCCCACTTCCCAGAGCTAAATACAGGGTTACAAATATAATAATCATAATCTAACTAACATTAACCAACTATATAAATAACCAAGTCCATAATGCGCTTTAACTTCCCTTTAACATAAATATAATAATAATAATTAAAACATAAACAAATTAGTATCCTAATTATTAAACAATAGAATATCCATATTGTTAAACAATACTAATACTAAAAGTAATAATAATATCATATAATTAAAACTAACAAAAAATCACTATAATAAACTATTTTTTTTTTCCAATATAAAATTTTTATTTTTATCATAAAAGAAAAGAAATACATCACAAATATTTCACAATATTATATCCCATCCCCCCACCCCCCGGACTTCCCAAACCAACCTAGGCTGATATTCAAATACAAGTAAACAAATATTAATATCTCTAACTCCAAAGTCTAAACTTAAACAATCCATCTCCTCCGTGTTAATAAAAATTNAAACTGCACCTATAAGAAATCATTTTAATCCCTTAGTAAGGTTTACAACTTCAGTTACTTAATTATCATTCAATTATTTATCAAATATACCATTAAAAATAAGTCCACCTCCTTCAACCATTATTAAATCAAAAAAAGAAAAAAGAAGAAAAAAAAAGAGAACCTTTAGGACCTAAATTCCCACCCATTTAATTAAGTCTATCATAATTATACTTCCTTCGTCATTAAATCAGAAAAAAAAACCTTTAAGACATTTTTAACCCATCCAATAACATTTAATGTCATATTTATATCTAACTCTGGGTTTCTTTCTAAACGCTCGGGGGTCGCATAACCAGTCAGTGTTGATTCCTTGCGACTGTCTAGAGTAGTCCCTGTAGTTTTCTTCACAATATTTTCCGAAGTGGTTTGCCATCATTTTCAACTCAGGACTGAGAAAGAAAAACTGGCCACGGTCATTCAGATTTTGTGTCTAAGGCAGGAACGAACAGGCTCTGTATACTGATAATACCAAATTAGTAATATTACAAAGTTCTTCAAATGAAAATGACTGCACTATTTTCGAATTTTGTTACTTGACATGGCAGTATTTGTAACTGATGGTCATGGTCTTGGGATGGATGTGGTGGTCAGGGCCAAAAGATATAGCTCTGTCACTCAATTTAACTTCAAACTGTCACATTGACAATTGGGTTAAGCCACTGAATTTTCTGTCATTGCTCACTTATAGCATCAAAAGGTACCCCAAGTAATTGGCAAAGTCATATTTTTTTAAAAAAAAATCCTATTACATTTTTCCTAAGTAAATTGCTACTTTTACAAGAATGACAGCTTTCAAAAACAATGTCTGATTTCCACTTCTGAATTTAATTATTAAAAATCAAACATTCTGTGTGATCAAGATGCATATAAATCCATTGTTACTTGTTAAAATTCATTCACATGTTAGAGCTCTAAGTTGCTGGAATATTTTTACATAATACGAAGCTTGGTTTCTTTAAAAAATGCATTTGTTTTTCATTGGATATTATTGCATGATATTTCTTATGTCATAGATAGAGTCATGATCTCTTTATCTCAATGGTTGTATTTCTCTTGAAGAGTTATTTCAACAGCATGAGCCAAATACACATTATAAGGAGAATTCATAAATCCCTGTCCTCAAAAAAACAGATGCACAACAATATGTGACAACATTATTATGTCTTTGAATAATACCCTCCTTAAAAAACTTGCAGTAAAAGCATTCCCAAGAAAAAGAGGCAAAGGGTAAATTATTATTCAGCTTTCCGATTATTTTGTAGGCAGTAATAGATGTATCTTTCTGCAAAGGTGTTGGTTTTAATCACAGCAGGTCATAGCTCGATCTGCTGTTAGAAATCCTTGTTAATGTTAGTAGCAAATGAAAAGGGTAGTTATAGTGGACTTCACTGTGCTGTGTTCTTTATATTACAAACTCAGACTCACCATCCTCCCTCTACCATTNCGCCTACATCGTCCGTATAGGACGACTCGGGAACTCAACTCCTACCCCGGGCAGCTCACCGATCCCCTTATGCCCAGGGGAAAGGTATCAAGCCGTTTGACAGCAGATGCTGGCTGTCAAACCGGCTTTTACGCAAAACAGGCGGGAGGCAGCAAACAGCTGCGACCAGCGAAATCGCCTGCCACCGGAAGTCTCCACTATAATAAACTATTAATACTAATAATACTCTAAAATTTACTCATAGGCTAAATGGAACTTTTTAGTCCCATATTTGTTCTGAATATAATCTATCCATCTTCTCCAAACCGAAATGTATCTTTCTTGTGAGTGATCCTTCAAATAGGCAGCTTAAATATGAGCCAGCAGTGTGCTGCAGCTGCCAAAAAAGCCAACACAGTGCTGGGCTGCATTAACAGAGGGATAGAATCAAGATCACGTGAAGTATTAATACCACTTTGCAATGCCTTAGTAAGGCCACACTTGGAATACTGCATCCAGTTTTGGTCACCACGATGTAAAAAAGATGCTGAGACTCTAGAAAGAGTACAGAGAAGAGCAACAAAGATGATTAGGGGACTGGAGGCTAAAACATTTCCGAATCCATCTCTATTAAAGCATTATAAATTCTCTTTATATGCGCTCGATTTTGATCTTTAATCTGTTTTACCAAATTCTCATCCATTAATGTAATACCAACCTTTTGATCTAACTTCCACCTAACCATCAATTGAGTATACTGAAACCAAGACTGTACAATATTTTCTTGCTTTAACTCAGCTAACGATTTTAATTGCCAATCATTCCCTACCACTCTAAGTAATTCCTTATAAGAAATCCTATCCAAATTCACACCCATAGATACCCCCTCTATCACGTGTCCAGGAATCCCCCAGATTGGTATTTTATAATTTAACTTATAATAATACTTTTTCCAGACACGCAATAAGGCACTTCTTAAAATATGAGATTTAAAAACTTTGTCAACTTTTTTGTTATAAATTAAGTATGCATGCCACCCATATAATAAGTCGCTTAATTGCTATTATTGATACGGTAGCTGGCAGACATGAAATTGGAATTTTATTTTTTAAATGCTGAAATAGCTTATATCCCTCTTCACTGCATGGCAAGAATTGGAAGGAACTTAGCAAAGCTGAATTATTTTACATTAAATTGATTCCCACTTGCATCACATGGAATTTCTTCCCATGAGATGCTTGGCTGGTTTCACTGAGGATGCTTTAAAAATCTGTAAAACTTGACTTATATTTGTTATTGAATTGTAAAATTGTTTCCTTTATAATTGTTAGGTCCTGTTTATAAAATCTGACTCTATGGATAAATGCTGTCAGTCTTGGCATGTCCCAAGTAATAATTCATAGTTTTTCCAAGACATTAAGCAGCCTTTCTGGTCCTATCCATCCACCTTATCTTCACATACTATTTTCCTCAACTTCATTTAATTGATTTGATTCTCATATTGTCCACCTGGTGATATCTATATATAGAATCTGTGTTTCTTGCTTGAAGCAGATAAACCAAAGAATTCTGCTTACAAAAATGTATTAAAGTTATATCTTCAAGTACTGCATTTATCCATAGTATTCCCTAACAACTGATTCCTAAACAGAAGAAATATTTATTTTAATAGACTTTTATTAGCTTTTACAATTTGTTTTATTTTGTGAGCTACTTTGGGAAGACTGTTCACAAAGATGACAAAGAACTGAATTCAATTAAATAATTAATATTCTTCTTAAAATAGTAAGAAAGTCTTGATGAAATGTATAGGAGTCTTTTGTGAGCCATAGCGTTAAACCCTTATTAACACTTATTGGTAAATGTATCATCTCACCATTCAGATATTTCCTACAGGTACTAAAAAGACCTCTTAATTAATCTGCCCATAAATTGTTTATTTCATATTCTAGGAAAAGTATACAATACATTATTGCTAGATATGAAGAAAGAAAATCCATGGTATTTATTTATTGATTGATTGATTATTAAATTTATTTGCCACCCATCTCAATTCTGACTGGCTTACAAAATGATAAAAAGGCAGCAGAAAATGATTAAAATTACAAAAGATTAAATAAAGACTAAAATTCAAGAGGACAGGTGACATAGAAATGGGGATCTTCTCTCTATGCCGTCACTCCCAGCAGAAAGCATCCCTGTCGGACCCCAGGCCAGCCTGCAGAGGCTCTTCCTGAATTCATGCCAGGAGGGTGGGAGTTGATCTCACCTCCAGTGGGAGAATATTCCAAGGAGTGGGGCATATGGTATATAAGACTATATCTTTCCAACCAGTGCTTTTTTTGTAAAAAAAGAAAAAGAAAAAGGTGCCGGAACTCACACATGTCATACAACCTGCCTTGCCTAACCTACAAGGTTCCATCCAAAAACGGTGCCGGAACTCCGTTCTGGGCGTTCTATGACAAAAAAAGCCCTGTTTCCAACAAACTAGATGGATTCCTATTGGAACAAGTGAGAGCTATTTAGTATTTTGATAAAAGAGGCATGGAATCAGAAAAGAGAAGCCAATATTTAGTTTATCAACACAATGAGATCTTCATGCAGTCATGAAAAGGCAGGCAACATATCATATTGAATATAATGTACTGCATATAACATGGCAAGGTATTTCTTTTTTCCATATTTGATTATCTGTTTTAAAAAATAATAGTTATGACAAGGTTCTTATATAAATTCATGTTTAACCTTGTCTGACCAGTATTACAGCTTGCAAATTCATCTAAAGAGGTTTTTTGGAATGAGTAGGAGTGTGTGCTTTTTTTCTGATGATGTCTCTTTCCATGTTCCCACAGCTGCTTCAGAAACTTTTCCAAGGGCATGTTCACACAATATGTGGAGGCAATTGGGAGCAGATCCTGAAGCAGCTGTGCAAGCCTGGAAGAAGATGCAGCTGCTTTAGTGGTTCAAAAAAGAGGCCAGGCATGTTCCAACACATTTCTCTAGAAAGTCTGCCCAGCCACTTTCAGGATCACAAAGATTTCCAGCTTGAAATAAATAATAATTATAATAAATAATGGCATGCAGTTCTGAGAAAAGATATCATTACTTAATAGCTCATGAAATGCCCACATATCTTGGACTGCATAGTTTTCTAAATATTATGTGTAGTTACAGAGCATAGCACACATGCTTCAGTATGAGAAAATGATTGCTAACAAGTGATGTCAATTCTGTTTTTATGGAAAAGTACATGTTTGTATTATATATCTCTGAATTTTACTGTAGTCAGTAGCACATACTGTAGATACAGTGTGTGTATGTGTATTTAGATACATGTATACATGTGTATACATATACATTTATAAATTAGAAATCCTGAATTGTTCAATAAGCAAAAGTAAGATACTAAATTATATTCCTTGATATAATCAATCTGTATATTCCACTTTCCTAATTGATTTATGGCTTAATAACTAGTTAGTTTGTGACTTCATATGAGAACAGTTCCCATTTCAAAACAGTTCCCATTTCAGACTAGTGCAGAATGAGAAGTCAGAAGATATGCAGATAGAATTGTACTGATATAGCAAGTGTAGTTTTTATTAGTATAATTTTGGTATGCCATAGTTTGACATAGTATGAAATATTTCTGTCTAAGGTTTCTGGACACCCTAATTTTCATAGCAATTTAAAACAAAAACTTTGTCCATTGGTAGCATTTTAAAGTGATAAAATGTTAAGTAGTTAATGAATGTTGATCAATATTGCTAACCAATAATAACAATAATACAATATTTGAAAATAATCCTTGTCTTTAGTGTCATATATGAACTTTCAGCTTAATTAAATATGAATAAGTCAGTTTGATACATACTGCAAGTAGTTGCATGTTCCTGAGATCAGTGGGTCTCTGAAGACTCAGAATGTATTGAACTTCAGATTAATTTAATTCAGGGGAAAACTCTCAAAACATTTTTTTTAAGCCTTGTCAACCCAAAAATGTAAAATTATGCTATTTCTTAGGCAAGGCTTTCTGTCTTCAGAAATATTAGAGGCTAAGGTCAGACTCAGCAATAAGTCATGAAGCTAAAGAATTCATTAATGTAAAATTCTTCACTGAATGCAATGAAGTAGAGCTATAGCTTTTATAATAATTATTAATCTACCCCATAGCTTTGTCTCTGAGTCTTTTAAGTCCTGACATTGCTTTTTTTTTTTTTACCAGAACAAGGTTTATCTGTTCCACTCACATTCTAGTCTGATTCTTTACTCTTCTTTATGATCCTTGACTTGGCCAGGCCAGGAGTCTTCTTAGAAAACTATGTTTCCTTCCTTTGTATAGCCCTGTTTTCATTTTATGTAGTCTCTCTTCCCTTTTATTTCTCAGTCTTCTTTAAACTTATGTATTTAACTGAAACTGTGCAGAACTATTTCTTTCACTATTAATACTACAGTAAGGGTGTTCTAAGAAACACCTTTCCCATTGATCATATTCTTGAATACAAGAAAAGTCAGTATAAATAAATCTATCAAATAATTGGGCATATCTCCTGCAATCATGTTTCATTGTATTGCACAATTATATATAGGATTTAAGCCAGAAGAATACTGTATCAGTTCAATTTTAAAAATCCCCTAGATTTCTAATGCTTTCTCTTTGCTTTATGACATATGTCTTCAGAAACTCCCCACTTTTACCCTAATCAGATTGTTATAATAATGCCAAATGATTTCTGCGGCATTCAGTTACAACAATATTTTTATTTTATCTCGGAGCTGGTTGTTCCTGACAGGCACAAAATATCATATTGCATTCCAGAAATCTTTCTGCTGTGTTATTGAATTTTAAAATAAGACATTTATTTTTTTATATGCAATACATTCTTCATAACTGGAAGGACAAGCTTTATTATAAATGTAGCTCAATGAAGTAAAGATATATTTCTAAGTTGCTAGTTTAAATAAGACTCCATCCATTCAAAGCTTGTTTAAATATGTGTTGTGTTTAATCTGTCTTGTTGTGTGCTGACAATTAGCATAGCTCACGTTTAGATAATAATCGGTAACCAGTTTATATTTGCATTTTTTAAATTCTTTGAACAGCCTTTATACTATTTGGTCCAATAGCCTTCAATATAAAAACATCAGATTAATTTTAACCATAGGATTAAAAAGGGATTTGCAGTTATTTTGACTATTAATTCTATCAGTGGATTGGTTAACAAACCAAGGATAGCTGTGTTAATGGATAATCTGAATGAAAGACTTTGATTGGTGCTACATGTTTGCTGTTAAATCAGAACTCTGCCATATTATGATGTAAATCCAAACATTGGTAGCTGAGATTGTACTGAAGAAAGATGTACTAACAATAGGCTGAAGAAAGACATTTTTCTTGTCTTATATTAATTTATATATTATTGTGTTAGGCCTTGATATTAAAATGGATTAAGTAGTTTGCATCTGCTATACCATCTAATTTAGGAAACTACCATCTCTGCATAATATTTTGTTATTGCAAAATGTCCATTTATGAAGTTTATTGATACCTTTTGTTTAACAATTACACTTACATTATTTAAAACAAAAATAGAATCCTAAATTAATTTTTGTTATTCTTAAAAGCATAATCTCATTTGTAGGGTAGAAGACCACGATGATCTCACTCCGATCTTTTCACGGCATAATGATACTCTAAGGCAGACCTATGGAGACTATTTCCTTGCTGAACTGATAGAAGCTCAAGATGAAAATAATCTTGCTGTGGTTTGTGAGGTATGCCTTTGATGGTAATAGAGAGTTACTAGATAAACTACCTGTCTGGTTTTTTTAAATGACAAATTGGATTCATTCAAGATATCTCATAATATTTCACCCCTAGTTTGAATAGGGTTGAAATGGCTCCCCATCATTTTATCTCCATAGGGGAGCAGATTTGCCTATGGAAGATTATCTGCTATTTTTTTAAAAAGGCTTCTTTGGGTTCTAAATGAAGGATTTCTAAACTTCTAGAACTTCAATTAACTACAACTTCTAAAAAAAGTAGAGACATACTCAAAACAGATTATTTGGCATGTTTTATCTTTTATATGGAGCTCCAATTCAATTTCCTTCTAGGCTTTTATTTATATTACATGTCAGATAATAATGTTGAGATTTATTACTGAAATGGTTCTTTTATATTTTGTCATTATTCAAAAACCCAAAGAAATAGACATATATTCAGCTATTGGATGGGAATACTACAGCTAGAGATGCTAGCAGAGGAATGCTAGTTTTTTGTTTAAAAATATCCCCAAAGTTAGGCCATTTGCCGCTGTATCAGAGGAAAGATTGGGTATGTCAAAATCCAGAACCGTATTTCAGTAATTGTGAGAATTACTGAAGATGAAATAATCTAATTCATTATGGATGGAGTTTGACAAAATAAGGATTCAACTGGCTTTTCAGACCCCAATCCTGCACAGTTGCACGTGAAATCTCTTTGCCATACTGCTTGGAGAGATATGTACGGTAAGTAAAATATTACATATAATTAAGCATCAAGTCTGTTTTGATTGTTGAGCTATGATATTTTATTAGAGGATAGGTTGTTACAATAAAAATATGTACTTTTCCCTCAGAAATGAATTGATTGTATTAATATATAATATAGTCATAATACATAACAATAAATCGTATTGCAGGTAAACAATATTTTTATTGTAGTGTTTGTCAGATGAGAGTTGTGCTGGCCTGTCATCTGTTTTTATGTTGAAATGTTCAGCATTTTATTACTCACTTAATATTTTCATAGTGAGATTTTTTTTAAGTAGATATACCATATGATTAATTGTTCCATATATACAAAAGGCATAGGAGTTTAATTGAACTAAACTCTGTTTATAAGCCTCCATTTTACTGAACATACAAAGAAACATTTTTCTTTGCAGTAAGATGGGAGGAGCATCCCTATTTCATTTAAGAAGTGAAAAACCTCTGGCTTTATCTAAAATTTGCATCTTCAGAGAAAGTACTTTTTAAGTCTTTTCAAACACCTTTAGTTTATTAATTAATTAACTGACAGAATTTTACCACGCTTCTTGTGCCCTATCCCCTATAAGCATGTGCCTAATAACTGCATTGTTCTGCAAGGTATTTGTCTATCATTTAGTCTTAGCTCTGTGTTGCTATGCTAGTGATTCATGCATCATTATCAACCATCCTCTGTTTATTTTTGGCAGACATAGGAAGCTCACTGGTTGCAATGTAACCTACCAATGCCAGTTTTTGCAACTTCCTGGATTCGGCCCCCCACCCAAATTGTGCTACAAAAAAATTAGTGGCAAACATCTCAATTTCAATGATCTGAGCTTTTGTGTTTTTTTAAAAAAAATTAAAATAAATACTCAAATAAGTATATTACATCTCAGTAATGCACCATTCAAAACAAGGAAGACTGATGAAATCAGTCCTGCTTCTCCAATACCAGCACTCTGTCACTGTCATTCACCCTTTAGATTAGCTTTTGGAAACTGAGCTTTAAAAAATGTGGCTATGAGTTGCTAAAAGCTTGGCTCCCTCCTCCTGGCATAGATTATCCAACTGTGGTTTACAAACTATGATTTTTTTTTAAAAAAAATGTTAACCATTCTGCCTCAAACAAAAGCCAAAGCCCAACACATGATGCGTAGGGAGTAAATTATGCAATCCTAATCTGCAATACAGGATAAGAACTATGAATAATATTCAAATTTCAGAGAATCAGTACAAAATAAGATGAAGTCAGAGTCAACAAGGTTTTGTTTGTTTGTCCATCTATTATATTGGTTTATAACCAATATAATGAGTGATAAAAAAATAAGTGATAAACATAGAAGTAAAAATACAACAAAAGAAAAATAATGAATAACAACATAAATAACAATGATACAGTAACAACACAATGGCACCCAAGGGCAACAACGACATATTATACCGGTAATCATAATGGCACCCAAGAATATTTTATCTTTGCTTCAGCTTAGGGGCGGGTTGTGTGATACTTCCCATTAACAGATGGATGGAGCCTGTTTAGAGCAATTTTATGTAGGTCTGTATCTCTCTTTTCATGACTTATTTTTAAACATCTGATTATTCTCACTGGCCTATTCTGAAACTGCTCCAATTTGTCTGGATGCATAAATTGAATTGCCAATATGTCTAGTCCTTAAATTGAAATCTGACCAATACAGAATAAAGTGGACTATTATTTATTGAGATTAGGAAACTATTTCAGTATTCTAATTCCAAAGCCCAATGCTTATGAATTCTGGATACTTGTAATATAATCTATGTGCTTTACAACAACCTTCCCAATCTTTGTACCCTCAAAATCAGTGCATTTTAGTCCTCAGTTTCACAATGGTTGCTGCTGGTATTATTTGAGTTATTGGTTGAGGGGGAGGAAAGAAGGGATGAAGAATCAAAGAAAAATGTAGCTTCTCTTAGAGCCATCTCCAAACTGGTGAATACCACGTACAGTAGCTAGACTGCTGTGATGCAGAGCATCAGAATATATTTGTACATTTTGTTTGGTTGTAATAAGAGTTCTCCTAAAGACAGCTGAAAAGAATCAAACAAATATTTGTAATGTCTCCATTTTCAAAAATGTAAATTCCAGCTATTACCATCCTATGAATCTATACTGATCTTTGGCTGGTAGAAAATAAAGGAGAAATTAAGTGCAGTCTTTATATTATCTCCAAACTGTATGTAATTTGGGCTGTTATTCTGGACAACAAGTCAATCAAATCTGAACAAAATTTTCTTCATCTGTCTATTAGGAATAATAGAATGCAGCCTAAATATTCCTCAGGTGGGAAAAAAACATAGCAGTAGCATTACCATTATATCTTTATGATAACCAGATAATGTCAAATGGAATTGAGACAACTTGACTTTCATAGAATTTTAATTCTTTCTTAAGTAGACATTTACCAAATCAACATAGGCAATGTGTACAAAGAATGAATTCTGGAGTTCTTTGAAACCCTTAATAATAGTTACCCCTCTCCCCAGTCACATAACAAGGGAGAACATTCTGCAGCACTGCTGCCTTTCCCATTGATACGCATGTATGTAATTTTTCAGGATTTTTTTTTCTCTGAAACCCCTGGTCCCAAGCTAGATCAATTTTTATAGGCTTCTTCCTCCACCCTAAAGTTAACCAGTTCTATTTTGCCTTTAGATATTATTATTATTATTATTATTATTATTATTATTATTATTATTATTATTATTATTATTATTATTATTATTATTATTATTATTATTATTTACAGCCAATAGGCGTCTCTATCTGTTGCAGCATGTGAAAAGGATGATCTTATACTATACAATTCCCAGTGATGCAAATATATGGGGGTAGGGTAGGATTGTGTGGCTGAAGCCCTAGCTCATTTTAAAATGTGGTACATTTAAAAAGGGGTGGAATTTTAACCACATGATTGAGCCATGACTTTTTTGACCCTCAGGTGGATGCCTGTCATCTGACTACCCTTTGGCATCTGATTAAATGCTGATTAAATAGAATAGTGTGTCTATAAGTATGGCTGTTCTTAAAACTAAGTCTGGAAATCATGAGATTAAACTGGAGTATGTGAGCTGTTTTTCATATCTGGTACATGGCTTTGAAGCCTGAAAAATTATCACTGATAACACAAAAATAATCAGTGCATTGCTTTATGCCTCTTACTTTTATTTCGTAGTTATCTGTCAGAGGTCCTCTTGCTGTATTATAAGCAAGAAGCATGAATTTTAGTACAAGTTAAATGGTATCTTTTCTTACCTTATCATATCTTTTGGAAAAAACACTTACAGCATTTTTAATGGATGTTTCAGGATAATGGCTTAGCAGTGGGGTTCATGAGTATATGTTCTGAAGTGAATGTTCAGCTGCTTCATGACTGCTTTGACTTGAAACTTTTCCACGGACTTTGCAAACCACATCCAGATGATATTCTTAAACCACCATGCATTTCAAGTGAAATTACAGGTGAAATCAAAATATTTTGCAAAATTTAATTTAGTGGTAGAAAATACATTGGGCTAATACATTTCTCAGCAAGGTGATAATACTCTTTAAAATTTATTAGTAATCAGTTCCATAGAGGACAATGTGCATAAGAGACTGTATAAAAAGTAAATACTAGCTATCTTAACTTTGGGAAAAAATAAATTTTACAAAATAAATTGTGTTAGATCAACTGACATTTTTAATAATAGCTAGTCTTTAACTTTCTTAAAAGTATATTTGTTTATTAGGCTTCAGAAGATTTAAAATTCAACTGCTGATCCCATATTCCTTGCAAGTTTTTGGAAGATTCCTGCTTCAGTGGGATATAACTCTGTAGCAGATAACTCACAGTTTACATGCCTTTAGGTCATCACTCTATCTAAGAATGTGGTACATATTTCCAAGACCAGCCATTCCCCCTGTTGGGATAAATATACTCTATGCAGGTGTGATGGCTATCTTGGGCCCAGCGAAATAAAGCCACAATCTGGCCTGCAGTTTTAAAAAAAAGTCACGGGCAACTGCATGTCTCGTATGTCTCTATAGATGAAACAAGGCATTTGGCTAGTTCAAGATGATGGGTGGAGGTGGAGCAACAGATAAATGTAGGCTGTGGACAAAAATATACTATATGCTCAGTGACCACTGGATCGCAGCAAAAAGCTTTAGTGATGCACCAGATTCCTGCAAATCTGATCTGATAACACTGATACTGATATCAGGTGTGCTCTTTTAAACCCCCCCCCCAACAAAGATTCCAAGCTCTCACTATTTTATATGTGTGCAGCTTTCAGGTATCAGAAGAGGTATCCTCCCTCAAATGTAGTTACTAGCTCTTTAATTGATCACAAATGTTGGGATAGAATGATCTATCTGAGAGATTTTTCTTGCACCCAAGCAGCTCTACTTGGTTCCTTATCCCCTTGTTCTAGGTTTTGACTAATGAAGAGATAATATTAATAAATTTGCAATTATCACAAATGTATAAAAAATTTAATTTGCAATTATCATGAATTTATAAAAATACTATCTCCGAAGTTTTGAAAACTATAATGGATAATTATAAAAAATTGAGTAGAGTTTATTAGACACGTCTACCTAGAAGAAAGTGCTGTTAAGCTCAAAGGTATTTCATTCTGAGTAGACTTGTTAGGAATCCACATTTCAAAACTCATTCCCCTGCTGAAAGTTTAAAAAATGTATAGAATTGAATATAAAAATCAGTTCACAGTGTAAGAAAACTACTTACTTTATAATATATTTTATGCTTTATTTTCTCTTACCCCTATTTCCCCATTCAGGAGACGAAAACATTAGCTTAGGAAGTCAAAGAGAAGAGATTATGGATACCCAGAGTATAGATATCCAGGTAAATATGAGCAGGAACACCCTAATGCTAAAAATTAAATCTTCCTAATGAAGTCTGACTTTCATATAGCCAACTAGCAAAGAGCACTAAAATATTGTGCCTGCCAATTACAATTTTATAATTATAGCCAGTTTTACACACTTTTTCATGGTTACATTTATGTAGAATCCATGGATTTGAATGTACAGTATGTGCAATTACTGTACACATTAAGATAGTTGCTTCTGATGACATGGTTTCTAGTAAATTATTAAATTATCATAAGGATTTTTGCTGCAAGAGACTAACCTAGACTTTTCCAAAAGCATTTGTATATGTTACCATTATATCTGATGTCTTATAACAGGGGTGTCAAATTCAATTTCATTGAGGGCCGCATCAGCATTGTGGTTGCCCTCAGGGGGCCGGGTGGGTGTGGCCAGGGTGGGTGCGGCCTACTGGGTGGGCGTGGATGGAGTAGGTGTGGCCTACTGGGTGGGTGTGACCAGCTCTACATCGTTCGCGTCAAGGGTGCCTGTGGGGGCCTGGGCAGGAGTGGGATAGATCTGAGGGTCTCTGGCAGAAGGGGGTGGGACCAGGGCAAGTGCCAAGGCATGGTCCACTAGAGGAGCCTCACTGTTCCTCTCAGGCCATGCGGGGAGGGGGGGTTATGGAGCTAAGACTGAATGCGTTTCAGCATAGATGGCCACCACAAAATTGTACATAGGCTCCCAGCTGGCCTGTGCCAGGGCCAAGGCAGCGGGGACCGTTCCCTCACTGTTTCCAGGATGGCTTCGCAGGCCACATGAAACCACTTTGCAGGCCGCATCTGGCCCCCGGGCCTTGTGTTTGACATGTCTGTCTTATAATAACTTTATCTGAATTAAGGTGAAAAGTGTATCTATACATTACAGAGCTATCCTAAAAGAGTTGAAATGTTAGCTTTGTTAGATTGTTCCAGACTGGACAGTTTGAAAGATGTGTGCATCCTTTTTAAACTTCCAAACAAACCTTTCATTTCAGTATGTATGTCAGTCAAGGCTGGGGTAGATGCTTTTGGATGCCATCCAAGGAGAGTGAGAGTTGAATTAGATTATCTGTACTCTGCTCTGGCCTTCTTATACAGATCCATCGCTGGCATGACAGATGATGATTTCCAAGGCAGATGTGACACTCCAAGCAGCACTTCTCACCGTCAGCAAATAGATACTTTCACCCATTCTAATCTTTCTCCCACACTCAGCCAACCTTTTCCCCATTATCTGACAGAGATGGGTGGTTAAGAAATGTGAAATATATATAAACAAACATAAAAATGACCAGTTAATATTTTTAAGGCAAAGGTCACACTGCATACATGCCAGTGAGAAAGGCATACTTAAAAAACAAAACAAAATGCAGGATTAGATGAGTCTTTAGTTTGACTCAGAAGGATTATACATGGAACAAGCCTTGAAACATTCTGAGTCTTCTGACCATAGAAAATAATGGAAGTTGAAACAAACCTCTAGCTCCCTTCTTTTTCATTTCAGATCCTCAAGGTAGTGAGCTGTTCATCTATACTGTTTTTCATACAGTCTTGAAAAAAAGTGACCAATGAGATGTCTTTCTCAAAATTAAATGAAAATATTGGTTAAAATTCCATTGTTCCTTGCTTGGCTGTACGTGGATAGAGACAATAAAAAAGGATACTTGAAATTGTTTATGAACAACATTAAAACAGAAAAAAACATTATTCTAATATTTTACTGCATTTGCCAAGTATTTTTCCTCAAAACGAACAAGGAATTTGCATTTTCAGCATGTATATTGAGCTCAGTATCAGCAAGAACGTGTGCTGAGTTCTTTGCAAGCATATTCTACACAGAAACTCAGTGGTCTTTTTCTATGCTTGATCATAGCCAAAAGGCCAAGGTGGCCGCAGCAAGCTGGACATAGTGAGATGGCTGCAGCCAGCTGGATGTGGCGAGTTGTCCCATTCCATCTTCATTTAGCAACCACAATTGGACCGGTAACTGAGTTGTTAAATGAAGCTGTTGCTAAGTAAAACCAGTACTTATCATCTTGCTTCAGCTTCCTTTTGCTTTTCAGAAGGTTGGAAATGCAAGGATTGATTGTAAAATTACTTCTTTATCACTGTTGTAATTGTGAACCATTGCCGAACAAGGAAGTTGCTAAATGTGGACCACCTGTACACACTGTTAGGCGATGAGAACTCCTCAGTTCTAAAGCATTCTACATCGTGCATTGAGACTGCATGGGTACAGAATCCATTTTGGCAAAGACAGAGGTTCCCAAAACTTTATGTACAATCAAGCAATCCTTATCTCTCATTATTTTCATGTTTCAGAATATTACAATATTATTATTGTAATATAATTATTATTGTAATAATTATTACAATAATATGGACTAGATGACCTGCAAGGTCCCTTCCAACTTTATTATTATTATTGTTACTGTTATTGTTATTGTTATTATTATTATTGATTAGCTATGAGCAGAAACACAAATATTGTTTTCAGGATGTATCAGAGAAGAATAAATGCTGTTAACAGACTTTCCCCCTTCCCTCCAATTTGTATTCTGACAGAGAACCAGCAAAATTGGAACCATCTTTTCCCAAGCTTCAAGTGCAAATGCAATGCTATCAAAAGAAAGTATTCAGGCAAGTCCTCTAAATCTGATATTTTGCACTCTTAGTTGTTTATATCTTGCTTATTTATATCGTCCACATCTAGGTTTATTTATATCTTCTAGAACTAGACAAGAGTTTATGAATCATGTGTAACAATAAATTATAGTGGTGGCCGGACAATTTTAGCAATGCATGCCAGTATGATGATTTCTAAGTCACAAATTTGTTATAATTCTAGCTTTGGGGAGCATCTAAATCTCTCTGTCTCATGGTGCTTGAATTCATTTCTTTTATATTTTTAAATGTTTTTCTTATTTTAATTACCTGTAATTTCCTCTTAATATTTTTTATTTCAAAGTTTATTTCTTTTCTTACCATTGTTTTCTGTAGATTCTGAATTCATTGTACTTTATATAAAGTGTAAGATTATAACCCTATTTTCTGTAAAACATGACTATTTGCTCTATTATATATTCATTCAAAATCATTCTAGAAAAATATAGATTTGAATCAAACTGGCTTAAATTTTCCATTCATGTATAAAGGATCACTACCCCAAGTTCCCTAGATTGCACAGAATATTTTAAAGCATATTAAGCCATTAATATTTTAAATTAATAGGAGTTGAATCTTGGCCCCTGAATTTGGATATTTTTTTTCAGCTCTTATGAAGAATGTATAAGAATTTCAGGAAAAATGAAATATAGTAGAGATCATGTTTCCTTGGATAATTTCTCCCTTCTTTATAAAACAAAAAAACAATGGCCTGGCCACACAAAAAAATACATTGTCATGAGGCAGAGAGTAGATGTTACGGTATTTTTCTTGGAAATAGAGATGATGATGAAGGCAAACCTCACGTTCCTACTAATAAATAGAAATGTAACTTCAGCGTAAGTTCTGTAAACTTCAAGACAGAAGCTTTAACATTGAAGTTTACAGAAAACCCACACACAGAGATCAGTATTTACATTTTGATTCTCACTGCCCATTGGAGCACAAAATGGACGTGATCAGAACCCTACATCACTGGGCTGAAAGTTTGTCTACAAGTGAAGAGGGAAAAGAAAAAGAACTAAAACATGTCAAGCAATCCCTCATAACTTATGGTTATCCTAACTGGGCCTTCATCAAATCCAGAAAAAGATCCAGTCGGAGCTCTTCCATTGCAGACAAAGAAGAGAACAACAAACAGAGCAACATTATCGTTCCATAGGTTGCAGGAATATCTGAAAAGCTCAAGAGAATTTTCAACCAACACAACATACATACATACATATAAGAATACATTAAGGCAGAAGCTCATTCATTCCAAGGATAAAACACAGAGACAAAAAGATAGATAGATAACCTTTATTGTCATTTTTTACTGTGGGCACAATGGCACACATTAAAAATGAAATTTAGTTGCTCTCAAAGTGTACACATACATAACACACATTTAAACATATTATGTACAACATATGTATAGACCTACACCCTTACATATAAGTAACATATAAATATTAATCACTGACCATCTTGAATATATAATGGAAGGAGGAAGCTTTAGAGTTCACAAGATTAATACTGTATGGAACAAAACTGTGACTGAATCTGGATGTTCTGCTTCGGATACCACAGAGCCTCCTCCCAGAAAGTAACAAGGAAAACAGGTCATGAAGAGGATGTGGGGTCCCAGACACTCTTACAGACCCTGCTCAAGCTTATGTGCTATGTCCTGGATGGAAGGGAGGGAACTGCCAATAATCTTTTCAGCCATCCTCACTACTCTCTGCACCTCCTTCCTATCTGAAGCAATGATGCTTCTAAACCAGACTGTGGATGCTGTATGACAGGATGCTCTCGATCGTCCCTCTGTGGAAAGTGGTAAGGATAAAGAAAGGAAGATGTGCTTTTCTCATGTGACATAGAAAATGCAGGCGCTGCTGTGCCTGCTTCACCAGTGTCTCGCTGTTGAGCGACCAAGCCAGCCTACTTGTTAACTGCACACCCAGGAATTTGATGCTGGTAATCATCTCCACAGGTGAATCATTGATGCACAGAGAAGTGTGGCTGTCCCTGCCTTTTCTGAAATCGACAATGATCTCTTTGGTTTTTCCAGTATTTAAAACTAGGCTGTTTTCCTTACACCAGTTCACCAAACCTTCAACCTCCTTCCAGTAAGCACCCCATTGTCATCATGAATAAGGCCCACTACTGTTGTATCATCTGCGAACTTCACAATATGGTTGGTGGCAAACCTAGCACAACAGTCATGGATCAACAGGGTGAACAGCAGCGGACTTAGGACGCAGCCCTGAGAAGAACCTGTGCTCAAGAAAATGGTGTTAGAAATATTTGTTCCAGCTCACACATATTGGGGCCTGTTTGTAAGAAAATCAAGAATCCAGTTGCACAAAGGAGTGTTTAATCCTAAAAGGCCCAGTTTGTCTACTAGATGCTGGGGAATGATTGTGTTAAATGCCGAACTGAAGTCGACAAACAACAAACGCACATGAGTATTTCTTTCCTCTAAGCTCAGATGGAGAACAGAAGAAATAGCTTCCTCCGTAGAGCGATTTGGTCGGTAAGCAAACTGAAGTGGGTCAAATGCTGGTGGGAGGCTAGATACAATAATGTCCTTTATCAGCTACTCAAAGCATTTCACAATGATGGATGTCAGTGCAACCGGACGGTAATCATTGAGGCCTGTAATTGTGGACTTTTTTGGCACTGGTAAAATGATGGCCATCTTAAAACATGATGGGACCACTGCCTGTTGCAATGAGAGATTGAAAATATCTGCGAGAACGCAAGCCAGCTCATCTGCACATTCCCTAAAGACACATCCAGGGATATTATCTGGGCCTGCTGCTTTCCGAATGTTAACTTTCTGCAGTGTTTTCTGAACAGAGGTGACATCAAAGCTAAGCACTTGCTCGTCAGGATGGGACACAGCTTTCCTAAGAAGGGCGGGATATAAATCAAATAAAATAAATAAAATAAATAAATAAATAAATTTGATGCCTCAAATCTTCCAAAAAATGTTTTCAGCTTGTTTAGGAAGTCTGTGTTGTCCTTGCATCTTGATGGAGCCACCTTATAATCTGTAATAGCCTGGGTTCCTTGCCACATTCGCCTGGTGTTTGTTGGGTTCTGAAAAAAGTTCTGAATTTTCTGGCAATGGGCTTGCTTTGCACCTTTAATGGCACTTTGCAAATGAGCTCTGGCTGTTCTAAGTGCCAGCATATCGCCAGATTTAAAAGCCACATTCCGTGCTTTCAGCATCTTGCAGACCTCATAAGTCAGCCACAGTTTTTCATTCACCCTCACAACAATGCTCTTAAGGAGACAGACATCCTCTATGCACTTTTGTTTATATGCAGACACCGTGGTGGCATACTCCTCAACATTTATATGTTGGTTATCACTAGCTGCTTCTTTAAACATCCCCCAATCCGTGCACTCAGAGCAGCCTGAGCAATGTGATATATGCAATACAATGCAGTAAGACATTTGCAGATCTGTACATTGGTGAAGCAAAACAACCACTTCACAAGCACATGGCACAACATAGCAGGTCAAACCCATCAGGACAAGATTCACCTGCCCAACTACATTGAAAGAAAAAGATCACTCTTTTGAAGACAGCAAAGGCCACATTTTGGATAGAGAGGATCATTGGTTAGAAAGAGGTGTTAACATTGGGACCTCTCTAAACGGAGGATTAGTCTACAATGCACTTGCAGCAGTGCCAAAAAGATTCCACAACCAAATGCACCCTGAGGGCAAAGATAAACCTCCAAGTGGCCTCAAGAACTCTCACAGAGAGTGCTAACGGACCAGATGACTGTAAAGAAATACNCCCCCCCCCCCCCCCCCCAGTTTCAACTATCAGTACCTATCCTTCCATCCCTCCCTCCCCCTCCCCGCCATCACAACCGATGAAGTTTCTGGGATGAGAAACAAAACATTTTGTTCTTCTTCCTCAAGGAAAAAAACAGTCCAGTTGAGGTTTTTGTTTTTGTTTTTGTTTTAAAAAAGAACACTTTTGAGATAACTATGACCTGGATGACTGAGAAACTACAGACTGTTTAGATTTCCACTACTTTAAATTTATCCTTGGGCGTTCTCAAGACTTTATATATTTCATCCCAGGTTAAACTACGTTTTCTTTTAAATGTAAATAACACAGGATTTAGGACAGAAAAATAATTATGGACATGTACACAAATTGTGTATGCTTCCTAGGATTCCTGCCTTATTTGTAAGTTTGTATTTGTTATTTGCAAGTAAATCAATCCTGGAGATTTTCTCCCCAAAAGATGTGCACACATAACATTGATGCATATGAGTATGCAAGAACTCTCACACTCCAAAAAAGAAAATAATAATTTAATTACTTATTATTGATTAAAGTTAGTTGCCTTTAAAATGAAGCATCCTATTCTTGTAAGTGACTGCTTGTGGTTACATACAAACCCCAATCATTTTCACATACAGGGACACATACACAATTCTAGATAGAAATTACAAAAATCTGAGTGGAGTAACCTTAAACTATATGTCTCTCTTTAGTTAAGTTCCCATTCAGTTCGAGGCTCTTATTACCAAGAAATTAAAAATAGGAAGCTTCTGTGATAGAGAATGATTTGTTTACTTCACATTCTCCATCTAAACTAAGGGGGAAACTGGAAAATAATCTTTAAGATATTGTGCTTTTTCTGTTTGGAAAAGGAAATATCAAAACAATCTAGGGATCAAACCAGTGGTGGGATTCAGCAAGTTCGCACCACTTCGGCAGAACCAGTAGCTAATTTTTTGTTGCCCAGGCCCAGAATGGACTTCCGGAAGCAGCATCCACACAGAGAACCGGTTGTTCACATATTTGAATCCCACCACTGCATCAAACATAAGAAAACCCATGCACTCTCACTCTGTAGTTAAGTCCCACTGAATTCAGTAGCTCTTCAGATATACATACATATTCAAAGAGGAAAACAATCTAAGTGTCCCCTCTTTTTGATTCACTGATTAATGGTGAATATCTGCAGTAAAGAGCCACCCCATGGAAGCTGTTATGATGATCCGGATTTTCAGGATCCTTATTTATGTGAAGAACTTAAATGGATAAAGTATTCTCACTACCACAAACACTTAGAGGACATCAGATGAGGAGAAATCTGGTATTCTAGTATTTTTCATCTTCCATGACATTACAGCAGTGGGTTCTTCCCTTCTCCTGTGTCCCTTTCAGTCAGCAAATTTGCACTTTGTACTTACTGTTTTCAATAGGGCCTTCTATTTCAATAGTGTTTCTACTTTCAGCTAAAGTAAAGTGATATGCCCAGTTTTGAGAGGCAATTATTAGAGAAAATCCTTATCTTTGGGAAAACTTGTCCAATGCCATACAAATATTGTTTGAGATTAATTTGATCCAGAGAATATATTAATATTGAGTATATTAATCCTGTAGCTCATTTCAGTTGTGGTTTTTTTAGTACTGTAACAAATTTATCTGAAGTTGAGCATCACTATTTTGAGCTTCTTGATTTACTTTCTCCTTATTGCAAATTCAGTATGTTCTCTTCCAATACGCTCTTTCAAAAACTATTTCTTATCTTTGAAATGCAGACTTGTCAATACATTATTAGGATACTGTAAATTTTTCCATTATTTTTATTTTCCTATTAATCCTGCTTAAAATTATTCAGTAGGATGTTTTGATTCTAGATGCATTTCTTCTAGTACATAGGAATTCTGTAGTTTATATCACTGGTTTAAAAATAATTAATTTATTTAATTAAGGGTGATTAGTAGAAAGAATTAGCTGGATCTTGCTGGTTGGCTGGTATATAGTAAGATACTGTAGAAACTTCTGATCTACCATTTAACTCAATATTTTGAGATTTCAAAATGTACATCTTCCCTACCACAAGAGTAAAGTCACATTTGCTGACTCCATGTATTTCCTCATTAGAAAAATTAGCATGACAGATTTTGTAAAAATGTGCACTCTTCTTGCAATAATTACATCGAATCCCCTTAGCAGGACATGAAAAAAGAATTTCTCCAATCACTGACTCTGTTACATTGCCTGCTTTTTTAATATTAAATATTTAAATATTTTTTTCTTCATAGCCATATAAATATTTTATTTTATTTCATTTTATTCATCATTTATACCATGTTAACTTTATATAAGCTCATTATCTTAGTTTCTTCCATAGCTCTGTCTATTCATGTTCAAGGAGCACAGCTATTATTGTTTATTATTATTTATTTGAATTTATATGTCCCCCCAACTTCAATGGATTCTTACTTTTCCTAAAGTAAGTTCCAAAACTAAATGTTCTCAGATATGGACCATAGTTTTTTTCCAATTAACTAATCTGTCATATTTTCAAAATTATTCAAATCAATTATGTCTGTTAAAATAACAATGTATTGTAATATTGATTCTTTGATCTTTTGTTCACACCAGTGAAATTTATCATTTACTTTTATATTAAAAACTAGCTGTACCCAGCCACGCATTGCTGTGGCTCAGTCTGGTAAAAGTGTGTGTTGCTTTTACGTCCAACAGATGGCACTGTTTTTCAAAAAAGCATGTTTTACCTGTCACAGGTGTGACATCTATATAATATAGGTATATAAAAACACGTGTGTATTCGAATGCAACATTGTGTCAAAATTTCAAAGCAATCGGTGAAGAACTTTCGGAGATTTAAGATTTTGAACAAACGAACATTTACATTTTTATTTATATAGAAGAAGATATATAGATATATGAGGGTCATCTTATCTACCAATTACTATAAAAAAGTATAAGATACATGCAGCTTTTTTTTTTACTTTTAAGGAGTAAGTCGTGCACATTTTCTTTCACAATGCAAAGAGATCATTTTGAAACATCTGAATCCAAACAGAAGGATTCTGTTAATTGGAATATTACAGAATTTCCAATTGGAAACTCACACAGGCTTCAAATAAATGCAGCTGGAAGGTTCACAGGTAAAATCATCCTTCATTACCAAAATATTGTTTCCCTGTAACTGAAAATAATGCATTTATTCAATCAACTTTCCTAGTAATCGAAGGTAAAAAGAGATGGCTGGTTACTCCATGTGTATTCAAATGTGTTAGCAAAGATTATTTTATTTATATATTTGATTTTGGCAATGACTGACTCCATACTGACTCTAGCTGGATCATAAAACAGACAAATAAAGAACAGATGGCAAATCCAGCTAACAACCCAAGACATATGAAAACATAGCCAGTAAAGGGTTCCACCCATCCTAGCCCAGGCCTGTGAGAACAGTCTCATTTTAAGGTCCTCTAGAACATCATTGAGGGTAGAAACCACCTGGATCTCAGGGGGAACCACATTCCAGAGGATGAGTGTTGAAACAGAATAAGCATACCTCCTGAGTGTTGCCATTACTATTTTGATAAATAACTCAAGGTAGCTCATATACCTAATGCTCCATTCTTCTCCTACTTCCTCATAACAGTTGGCCTGAGAGAGAGTGACTTGCCCAGTTGCCTTTCACAACTAAGATGGGACTAGAACTCACAGTCTTTTGGTTTCTAGCCTGCTGCCTTAACCACTACATCAAGCTCACTCTCTTTTAATATGTATTTTATTTCATTTTAGTTTATATATTTCTAGTAGTATATAGATATAAGATGATGCATATTAGCAGTTATATATCTGTATTCTACTTTTCAAGACAAAGTCTCAAAGTCTTTTTGAATAATATTGTGGAACTCTATTATAAATTAAACCAAGCTTCTCTTTTTTATTGTTTCTTATTGCAGAAAGAGGAAATACTTGCTCAGGTTTCATTAGAACTATCATTAGAAAGCGCCGGAAGTAAGGATCTGAAAGCAACTGAACAACCATCTACTACTAGTTTTGAAAGACAACCTTTCCATCCTCTATATAAAGGAGAAGTAAATGCCTTTTGTATTCAGCTCTTTTGTATTGATGAGCAGCATGAAACAAGGCAAGTACATATTTAAATACATGATATGAAAACAATTTAAGGGTAACAATGAGCCATAATTTATATTATTGATCTTAGTAATATTTACTTGAAATAGTTATATCTTGCCTATCAAGCTTTTATAAGATCAAGCTATTTATATCGTATAGGTAGGTAGAAAAAAAGTAGATGGACAGTCCACCATACAGAGAAATTTAAATGTAAGTATATTGTTGGAACTAGGAAAATAAATATTACTTTTCTGATAAAAGTGGTACCAGTAATTTACTTACATTCTTCCTGTGCTACTATTACTATAATCCTAGCAATTAACTGACATTTTCTTTTTTTTTTTAATAAAATTTTATTGTTTTCATCATAAAAGAAAAAGAAATAGATCACAGATATTACACAATGTTATATCCCATCCCCCCACCCCCCGGACTTCCCAAACCAAACCTAGGCTAATATTCAAATACAAGTAAACAAATATTAATATCTCTAACTCCAAACTCTAAACTTAAACAATCCATCTCCTCCGTATTAATAAAAATTATTCATTTAATTAATTCTTCAAATACCCAAAATCTTTACCA